GAGGGCCTTTCAGTTCTGCTTTTGCAGGTATAGTGATGGTGAGATGATGGTGATGGTGGTGATAGTGATGATGGAGATGACATGATGATGGTGATGGTGATGGTGATGATGATGGTGGTGAGGATTTTGGTGGTGATGATGATGGTGGTGATGGTGGTAATGATGGTGATGTCATCTGACATTACTGAACACTATGTGCCCAGGATGTTTCAATGTCAGGTGGATTCTCTTATTTAACTTTCCTAGTAACCCTTCAAAAAGCAGATTCCTTTGCTTCCATTTGACAGAGAAGGAAACTGAGGCTCAAGGAGGTGAGAGACTCATCTGGGGGATGTATCTGGAGGATGTCCCCAGGATCCCGCTCCAGAATCTGACTCAAGCATTGCACTGAGACCACGGCACCACCCTGCCTCCCTCAATGGGGCGCTGAGCTCCTCCGGGACAGGGCCTCCATCCAACCGTCTATATCCCCAGCTCTGAGCCCAGGGCCTGCACACTGGTAGGTGCTCAGGGAAGGTCTATTAGGAACGGCTTGTGCACGATGATTTGTACAGATGTAGTATCACACCTGTGCCTTAACGCATCGCCTTTACAAGCAATAAGTACACCAATCGATTGGAAACGCTCGTGGATAAATGAACGAATTCATGCAGGTGTTGGCCAACCCACACCAGTTGGCTGGCTCTTCCCAGAAGAATCATGTCTGGGACATCCCCATTGCCCACTTTCCAACCAGCCAGGCTTCCCAGAACCTGCTGCCCCAGCTCAGCCCAGGCCCCCACGGATCAAGACACCCTGACCGCTCCCTAAGTTAAACCACCCGTGGGTGAGGACGCCGTGAGCTCCCAGGTGGCAAAGGCCTGTGATGGCCCCCAGCCCCGGCTGCTCAGGTCTTACAGGGAAAGAGCCGATAGGGGCAGGGACTGGAGGAGGGGAGGTAGCGGCTTTGATCCGTTGCCAAAGAGAGAGAGAGGGGAGGAACACACTTCTCTCCAGACAAGCTGTTCGCTTACCAGCTGACTTGGGTAAAAGAAAAAATATTCCTAGTGCCATCTGTTCCCAGAGTGGGGCTGGTGTGGGGCCCGGGGCTTCCTGCCGCTCAGGCAGCCAGACCCAGTTTCAGAATCCGAGACAGCTGCCCCCCTGGATTATTTTGGGAGGCGGCTCAAGCAGCACCCTGGCCTTCCTTCGAGGCATTTCCCATCACTCCGAAGCTGTTTGCACACCCGGCCTCAGACTGCCGGCTCCTTCTCAGGCCTGCCTGTCCTCCCTTTCAGCCACTGTCATCCTCCTTCTTCCCACATCCCCCGCACCCCTGCAGGAGTCAGATTCCCCGGGGTGGAGGGGGTGGGGGGCCAGGGACAGCCAGCTAAGCGGAGGGAAGGGCTCCCTGTCCGCCTCACAGAGGAGAGACCCACAGCCTCCACCGCCCCCAAGCACCAGCCGGGACCCCCAAGGCATCCAGCCGGAACCCCCAGGCATCCACCCAGTACCACCAGGGTTCCCCCTCCCTCATTATCTCCTCAATGATTGTCCCTTTTGTGAAAGCTGAGTGCCTGGAACACGGGGGATGGGGCATCTCGGGCAATGGGTGACAGCAGCGTGGGAAAAGCCTAGAAACAGCTACAAGCAGATGGGAAGGGTTGAGGGGTTAGACCATGAGGCCGGAAGGCCAGGAGGACCCAGGGCATTTGATGCTGTGGGGAGGCTGGGGATTTAGACCAGGGGGGATTTAGAGCAGGACACTACTGTGATCATGTTCCCAGGACAGCAAAACCCCCAGTGTTGGAATGGATCTGAGGTACAGGGGAGACAGGTAGAGAGCCCAGCTGGGGAGTCACCATATCCCGGTCCCCCATGGAGGGTGAGAGCCCGAACCTCTCCACAGGCAGAGAGAAAGAGGGGAAGGTATGAGTTTGAGAGGCAAGCCGAGGGCATGACTTGGTTCCCTAGGAAGAGGGGGAGGGGATGTCTAGATGAGCCACGGGTCTGGGGCCTGGAGTCTGGGGGCCTGGAGGCTGGAGATGGGGCATCAGGGGGTAGGACAGGGGAAGGGTGAGCTCTGACTTGGACATGGAGAGTTGGGTGGGTCTCCGAAGGGAAGCTGTGCCCGTGGGTCTGGTCAGGAAGGGGAATGGTTGGGGTCAGGGGCTGGCGGTGGGGGGGTGATGGAGTCATTGAGGGGGCAGAGTCTCAGATTGGCAAGATGGGAGGGATTCTGGGGGCGGATGATGGGGATGGTGCCACGGCGACAGGAGCCACGGCGACAGTTCCACGGCGACGGAACCGTGCACTTTGAAGAGGCCCAAATGGCCAGCTTATCGAGTGCATTTTGCCACAATTAAAAAAAAAAAAAAAGGATTGACTCCTGCTTAAAAGGCAGAGGCATTCAGATTGGTCAGAAAGATATGACTACTTGTGTCTGTGAGGAATCCTCTTTAAACAAGGAGATGCGACAGTTCGATAGTAGAAAGACGGAAAAGATCATCTCGCTGTGTTAGTATCAGACAAATGAGGTTTCAGAGCAGGCGACATTCTGGAGCAAAGGAGACACAGATGATACTCCAAGGGGGCATCTTCTCCATCTGCTCGCACCCCCGCCCTTCCCGCCTTCCAGGTGTCCGGTCCTCCCCGTCCTCCCCATGTCTAGAGCTGGCTCCCTGCACCTGTCGACCCTTCTCTCCTCCAAGCCGCTCCCTCCTCCCCTCCTCTCCTCTCTTCCGGAGCCTTCCAGCAGGCATTCCCACAGCCCAAGACCTCTGGTCTTGCCCCCTCAGCCCTGGTCGTCTTCACACCAGGCTCCGAGAAAGCAGGAATCAGAACCGCCCGGCTGCCTTTGCTCCCTCCCTTACACGCACGTCACCCGAGTTCTGTCCGACGGCAAAATTCAATGCTTTGTTCTCAGTTTTACTGAGGAATAATCATACGATTTGATGAGTCTTGATGGTTGTCTATAGTCATGTACCCACCACGCCAACAGTCATGACCCAGAGCAAGCCCACCTCCCCCAAAGCTTCCCTCATGCCTCTTCGTGGTCCGTACCCCTCCCTAAGCCCCTGGCCCTGGGGACCATCCCTCTCTCTCCACTGCTGCAGTTTTGCCTTTTCTAGAATTTCTTATAAACTCTATCATCAGTACGTGGTCTGCTATGTCTCTGATCTTCCACTCTGCCCAGTGCTACTGACATCTTCCATATTGGTTCTGGATCAACACCCCTTTCCACAATGCTGAGCGGAACCTCCACGTATGAACACACTGTAATGCGTTTACCAGCGTATGGTCCTTAGTGTCCTTCCCAGTCTGAGGTTTTGGTGAACAGTACTGCTGTTCACACGTAAGTCTTTGTGTGGACACGTGTTTTCATTTTCCTTGGATAAACACCGAACAGTGAAACGGCTGGGTCCTACGGTGAGTGTCTGTTTTAGTTTCGAAGAAATTGCCAAACGCCTCTCCAAAGTAAAGGTACCGATTTGTATTCCCACCAGCCATGGACGAGAATGCTCCACATCCTTGCCCACACTTGGAATTGTCGGACTTTTCAATTTAGCTTTTCTAGGAGGTGGACAGCGGTAGTTCCCGTGGTTTTCGTTTTATTTCCCTAATGACACATGGTATGGTGACTCCGAGTCAGGCAGCTCCAGCTGCTATGATAAAATACAGACTTTTTTTTTTTTATCAGACTGGGGGCTTAAGCAACAGACATGTATCTCTCACATTTGTGGAGGCTGGAAGTCTGAGATCAAGGTGTCGGCAGATTCAGGGCTGGTGAGAGCCCTCCTTGTGGCTTATAGACTTTCTTGCTGTGTCCTCACGTGGCAGAGAGTGAGAGAAAGCACTGGCATCTCTTACTTTTCTTATTAGGACGCTGATCCCATCATGGGGGCCCCACCCTCATGACCTAAACCTGATTGCCTGTGAATCAGGAGGGGAAGGGAGCAGGTGGATGAGGGCAGAGTGGAAGGAAGACCACTTGAGACCGTCTTACACTCAGACACCAACTCCAAGGGCTCTTGATGTCATTCCCTGTGGGATGTCTTCCCAAGCCCCACCAGCTGGTCTGGTAGAGATGGCCTGGCCCACACCAGCCCCCTACCACAAAGAAGCCTCTCCCCAAATCCAAAGCTGTCAAACTGATAACCCCAGACAGACCTCGTGGGCTCTGTCCTCCACAGGGACCCGGAGCTGGGAACGCAGGGGAGACGCCCAGCAGCAGGCTCAGGGTACCCACCTCAGCCTCCCTGCCAGCCCCGCCCCCTGCCTCCCATGCCTTGTCCTGGCTGGTCCCCCACCAACGTCGGGTACTGGGACAGCCACAGTCAACCCTCCTCCAGGGACTTACTCTTTGCAAAGGCAGCAGGGGCCAAGTCTCACCAGAGAGAGAGCAAGCCCCTCCCCCCCGCCCCCGGGACAGACTGGGAGACCGCAAATCGTTCTCCTCCGGGATGTCTGGGCAGGTTTCTCTGCCACCATTATGAGGGCCTGAGCCACGGTTCCTCTGGCGAGTAACTGACTTAACTTCCCCAAAGGGGCTCCAGGGCTTGGTTTTGGAGCCACGCCCATCAGCCTGAGGGGCAGGCTGGCAGTAGCGGACTGTGGGAAGGCTGGGGCCTCTGGCCATCCACCCTGACCCCCGAGAGTCCTTTCTGCTCCCAAGGTCAGGCCCTGAGCCCGAGGGAAGGTCAGCATCACTGGGCTCTCAGTGGCCCCCACAGGTGCCCTCAGAGATGGGAATCTGAGCACCTTCCATGCCTGGCCCCGTGGGAAGGCGAGCTGCCCTGGGTGGGGTGAGTGGGGAGGGGAGCTCGTACCCATGCGGACGGAACCGTCTCTCCCAGGACACTGCAGGCTCCCCAGATCCCTCCCAGAAATAACACTCGTTAATATAAACTGAGTGAGGCCGGGGGTTGGCTCAAAACTGATCCATGCGTGCTTGCTGAATCCGAAGACATTCAGATGGACACAGGGTGGGGGTGGGGGGGGGAGTGGGGTGGGGTGGGGTGGGGGTGGGGCATCGGAAGGGGCCGGGCCTCGGGGGCAGGGCCCTCTGGGGCCTTCCGGCTGGTGTGCAGGCAGGCTCTGAGAAGCGGCTTCTGGGATTAATTCGGGGATCCACGGGGTGCGCTGTCCGTGCTTTCTTTCAGCTTGTGCTTTTGAAACAAGCTATACAGGACCCGCAACGTGCTTTTGGTGTCCTTGTTCACAATGTCTGTGGGTCGGAGGAGAGTGGGACAGCTGGTCAGGCCTCGGCCGGGGCGAGGAAGGGGGTGACCACCGTCCCACTTTGCCTGGGACCAAAGGGCTTCCTGGGACATGGGACGTCAGAGCTAAACCCGGCGGTCAAGCAGGACTGTTGGTCAGGCTAGGCCTGAGTCCCGGGATCCATCCCAGGGCCCTGCCTCCCACCTCCTCCCACCCCATCCTCCCCTGTATATGCGGTGCCTCCCACATACATTCCCTCAAGGTCTCATCCGTCTGGACAGCCTACCCCAGGTCCCCAGGCCCCCTCCTCCAGTGGGGTGAGTGGAAGCTGTGGGCGCAGCACCCCCCATCGTGGGAACCCCCTGGCCGAGCAAGAGCACTACCCCAACAGAGGCGTCCCACGACTCCACAGCTCCCACGGGCGCCACGCGCTCACCTTTGGGGTCGATGGGGTAGTTGAGCAGACCCTCATCCTTCAGCAACTCCAGGGCCAGGGTGACGTTGTGCAGCTGTGATAAGACCCCACCAAATGTTAGTCCCAAACCCAGGCCCGGGTCCCCAACTCCCAGGCCCGCCCATCACTCATCGTGTGCCTCACACTTCAAGGAGACCATCTCTAGTGGGGAAGGCAGGTATGGAGAGGGGCATCCGGTCTGGAAGTCAGGGAAGTCTTCCTGGAGGAGGTGATGCCTAGAGGTAAGTCTTGCCGGGTGAGGGGACTCAGCCAGGGGAAAGAACACAGGTTTATCCTGGCCTTTTCTGATGCAGCCCCAGCACCGTGGGCAACGGAGGCCCCGATGGAAACAGCTGAGTTCCAGGGGCAAAGCAGAGCTGGGGAGAGCATGGCCAAGGGGCTCACCCAAGCTCACAAGATGGAAAGTGGCGGAACCAGGTCTGTCTCACTCCGATGTCGGAGCAAAGTGGGCTGGAGGCTGTAGCCACCATCCCCTGTCTAGGCACACATGGGTTCAGGCCCCTGCCCGGTCATGGGGTAACCTCCAGCAAGTCACTTGGCACCCCCCGGGCCTACCTTGCTCACCTGCAGAGCGGAGTCACCACCATCTGCCCTGTGTCCTGATCCGGGGTGCTGGGTGGGGGCCTGGGGGAGCCCAGACAGCCCTCGGCTCAGAGCCCATACTCTGTTAGGGGAGTTCTCCCTATTCATGGCTAGTTTCTCTCTGGTGCCCCAAAGCAATCAAAAAGACCCTGTCCTCTGCCTGGGGGCAATGGTCCATTGCAGGGGCAAAGCTATTGGACCCCAGGATCCACCTGTCCTGGAGCATCTGGGAGGACCGGTGTTTCGAAAACACTTTGTCTACTCGCTTAGTTAAAATACATTTACTGAGCATCTATTATGGCTGGCAGTTCAGCAGGGGCCAAACCAGACCCCTCCCCGAGCTCATGGAGTCGATGCCTCTCAACGCTACGAAAACCATCACACTCGCTTCTGGGCATCAAGCCCATGCCCGACCTGAGCCCAGGGAGCTGCCGCAAGCCCCAGAGATGTCTCAGCACACTCCCCGCCCAGGTGTCACTTCCCTTCCATGCACGGCTGGAGGTTATAAAAGTAAAACCATCACCTTGCACAGAGCTGAGGGAAGGCTGTCATCCAGGAGCGTGCACTCAGATCCTCCCAGGGAGAAATAATTGAATGTGGGAAGAAGCCCACGATTCCCGGGGCCGGTGTTTTGATTTCCGCCGAGCAGACGGTCACCTCCCTCCCTCTGTCCCTCGCTTGTCTTCCCGGAAGGAATGACAGTATCACATAAACACCGGTGGCAAGGCAGGTCTGATAATGAGACATCCAGTCTCGAGGGGCACTCTGTCGAGATAATGATTCCTCAGTGTCCCACCGGCGGACAGCGCGGCGGTCCCCGCCCCCTTCAGCTAATGACCTCCTCTGCATTTTGATCATTCACCCCGTGGCTGGGACTGTCCATAGTCCCCTATAAAAATTCATTCTTGGGGTCTGAGCGAAGAGGCTGCTTCTCTCCCCCTGGAGGTAAGTGGCTCAGATTGGGAAGCTGGTTCAAAAATCTGTGGCTGGAGTGGGCTCGTGGACCCCAGGCACATCGCGAGTCAGAACGCTGGTCCCTGGCTTGTCACTGGGGTTTGCGAGCCTGCCAAATATTGGACAGAGGCTTTGAAGTCCCGTGAAGCCCAACCCCCAAATAACCAAGAGGGGACACCTGTGCTGTTCCGGGTCCTGGTTCTGGGCCTCTCCCCCAGGCTCCACTGTCCTGCCTTCTCCCCTGCCTCCATGTCTCCGTGTTCTGCCTTCATCTGCAGGCTCCCTTCCACCACCTAGGCTGGGCTCCGGCCCTCTTGGGCCCTCCCACTGGCCCGGCTTCAGGCCAACCCCTTCCCAGCTGGAGAGAGGCTCACACTCCTCTGTCGCCCGTGGGGCTCACTCTGACTCCCTAGGACAAAATGGGGAGGGGTCCCTGGCACCAGAGGCTGGCAAGCCCGGGCGCTGGGGCCACGGGGCCTCCTGGGCCAACAGGACGAGAGGGAGGTGATGTCATGCCAGCTGTGTTCAGTTTAGTTGCCTGTGTCTCTGCCACCCCTACGAGGAAACCACGCTGGGCTTGCAGCTGGTCCCAGGATGGTGGCAGGATGGTCCCTCGGCACCAAGCTAGACCGCCCCAGCTGAACCCAGCCGAGCCAGGACCAGCCAAACCCAGCCCACCCACAGCTCTGTGGGAATGCACGACTGAGGTGTCAGGTGAGCCACCCGTCGTCCAGGTGGCTTGTCACGCGGCATTTCTGTGGCAGTAGCTGACTGACACGGTCCAGGAGACCCCTGTGAGTGTTGACTGCTGTCCCTGCTGCTACCACTGGAAACACAAACTCCAGGCTCTTGGCTCCTATTCCCAGCTCCAAGCTCTCGAGAACCAGAGCCCTGAATCAATCTTCACGTCAAGACCACCTGTGCCTCCCGTGAAGGGAGAGGCCACGCCCACGAAGGATTCCATCTCCAGGGTTCAAGGGCAAGAACAGCGGGCCAAGGGTCAGAAGGCCAGTCCCTGTGTCAGGACCGCCACCCAGCAGCAGCACGATCCTGAGCAAGTCCCAGAGCCTCTCAGGGCCTCCGCTTTCCCCTCTGTAAAATGGACACGCAACCTGGCTCAGCAGGTTGGAACAAAGTAGGAGGCAGGGGAGGCAGAGGAACTGTCTGGGCAGAGACCTGGAGATGCGAGAGGACCAGGCCTGTGAAGGAGTCCGTGGGACACAGACAGACAAGGCTGTGGATGTGTGGGGGAGGGGCCTGGATGACGGGCCCTGGGGTGGGAGGCAGCAAAGCCAGGATAGAGCCTCACACCCCAGAGGCAGGCCACCGGTCTGACCCATCCCCAGGACCTCAGATCTCACCCTCCCCAGGGACACAGGCAGGACAAAGGGGAGACATCATTTCTTCTCCCACAAATGGCCCCAAAGCTGGCTGGGAACTGGCCCTCAGCCCTGCTCCATGTTCCTGTTCTATAGAAAGAGCCACTGCTGTGGAGAGATGAAGGTGTTGCCTCCCAGTGGGCCCGAGGGACCCTGGAGGGGACAGAGCTAAGCAGGCCACCTGCTGTCCAAGCAGGGCACCTCCCGCCCCAGGCTCCAGCCCATCTCAGCCACCCCTCCAGCGTCAACCTCCGGTAGGGCTGTTGCCCAAGAAGACTCCAGGTCGATCCCCTGATGGATGGTGGGTGGATGGATGGTGGATGGATGGATGGTGGATGGTGGGTGGATGGATGGTGGGTGGATGGATGGATGGTGGATGGATGGGTGGATGGATGGGTGGGTGGATGGATGGATGGTGGGTAGACGGATGGATGGATGGTGGATGGACGGATGGATGGATGGGTGGGTGGACGGATGGTTGGTGGGTGGATGGACGGATGGATGGATGGTGGATGGACGGGTGGGTGGACAGATGGATGGACGGGTGGGTGGACAGATGGGTGGATGGACAGGTGGATGGGTGGGTAAATGAGTAGATAAATAGACAGATAAAGGATGGGCAGGCAGGGGAATGGGCAGATGAATTGAGTAGATGGGTGGATGGATGGGTAGATATATGAATAACCAAACTTGCCCTCCACCCTTCACTTCACCCGGAAGGACATTGGTATTGCCACCTGCGCAAGTCCGTCCACTCAGGAGTAGACCATCAAGGCAACATCTGGAAAACTTACCATTTCTGCAGGAGAGGCGGGAGTGAGGTAGAATTCCTTCAAGTGCAGGAAGAAGCCTTGCAGCTGTCCAATCAGCAGGAGTAAGAAGACCCCGTCTGCAAACTGCAGAGGAGAGCCTTGGAGGCAGATGGCCTGGGGCCCGGCTCTGCCTCCCGCAGGCTGTGTAGCGCCCCCCTCTGAGTCTCAGCGGCCTTTCTGAGACTTCAGGACGACATCCCCGACCTTGCAGTGTGTCGTAATCATTGGCGGCATCAGGTAGCAGACACTCACGGGCCACCTGGCACAGAGCATGTGCTCAATAAAATAAGCTCTTTTTACATTATCAGTGAAATAGCCAAACATCGCTTGTTAAACCACATACTGTTCCGTGAGCTACAGGAGCACAGGAGAAAACAGAGTTGAGTGTAAAACTCCTCCTCCGGGAGAGGCAGGGGACAGCACACGGGCTCTGCGGTCTTTGCGGGCTGCCACATCCATATTTCTGCCTGTTCGGTCTGTGCCGAACAGATAAAGCCGCCCGCCTGCCATCGGCGTAACATATTCTAGCATAATCCTACCCGATCTCTTCAAAGATACAAAACACAAGATTGGATATTGGAGGGAAAACCTCCACTTGAAGTCCTTAACAGAATTTCCTCATATTGGGTCTGTTCCGACATTATTACTTCAGTCTGAAATCTTTTCTGCTGATATTCCCTGATAATACCCCCAAAATACCAGGGACTTCAACTTCTCCCCTTATCCGACAGTCTCTCTATACGGTCCTCCCACATATCATTATTTTCCAAAAGTCTTTTCTTCACCAAGGGAGAGATAAAGACGAGAAGCAAGTAAAATCGAAACCTATGGGATCGTCCTGTATATACCCACATAAAATACAATAAAACCCCAAATTTATCATCTGTGGCGTGTCCACAGTGTCCCAGGTCCTGTGATAAACACCAGAGGCATATCAGCTTATTTCTCGCTTCCAATTCTATGAGGCTGGTCTCCTTAAATTCCTTTTAAAAGAAGAGGAGCCCAAGGTTCAGAGAAATCCAACCCAAAGCCATGCAGATAACATGACGGAGGTGTCCTTGAAGCCCAGGGGCCACACATGTCCATCTAGCACCCATCAGGTCCAGAGCCTGGTGTCGCTAGCCCGCCACGTCCCTGCACCCCATCACACACAGACTTCTGTGGCCACCATGGGACGTGCTGCTGTGTACAGTCTGTGGTCTCAGCCCCTGGATTCAAACTCCAGGTCCTCTGCTCTGTTGCTGGGCGACCTCACATGAGTTCATCAACATCTCTGTGTCTTAGTGTCCTCATCTATAAAATGCGGGAGTATATGCTCCTCCCCCAGGGACTATCAGGAGGATTCAGGGAGGACCTGGATGTAAAGCACTTTGTTCTGGGTCTCACACATAGTGAGGGCTTTACTGCTTTCAGATACCTGGGACCCTGTTCCTCGCTGGCTAATGCCAGGGTGTGTCTGAGAAGCCAGTTAGCTCTGGCTAATATCGCCATAAGCCATTTAGCCCAACGGGAACCAGACCTGCCTCCACCTCCCTCCCCTATGATCACCACGCTGCACGGGCACAAACCAGGGGGCCCAACGCCTACTCCGCGTCTACGCCGCCAACATCTAAGTCCCTGTGGCCAGTCGACGTGGCCGGTGACCAGCAGGTTCCATTGCCCCCCGAAGGCTCTGGGCTGATGACAATCAGCTTCTCCGATCCCCTCTGTGCAAAGGGAACGTTACAGGCGCACAGTCTCCTCCTGGAAGGCCATGGCCCCCTGCGTCAGGCTGACTGGGTAAGATTCCGGTCCTGCCCCACAGTGGGACTTGGTGTAAGGCAGCCACATGGCCTGGGCAGCTGGGGGGTCCACAGGGGCAGGTCTCTAAGTGCCTCGCATGTGACGCTATGAGCAAATGCAATCACACGAGAGGAGCTCCAACCACAGAGGGAAACCCACAGTCCCTGTTTCATGAGGTCCCCACAGTGTCCCTCCCAGCAACACCCACCCCCCGTTGGAGAGAAGGACCCCATGGCTCTGAGAGGCGACACATCCTGGGTCACAAAGGGGCGGGCCCCGGCTCCCACGGCCCCACAGGAACTTCTCCCCCACCTGCAGGGCCCTTCCCACCTGGGGGCCCCCACAGCTGAGTCCCTACCTGGGTGTCCAGGTTCTGCACAGACAGGCCCAGGCGGTCCAGCTTCTGGTTGACGAAGTTCACAACGGCCTACCGGGGGGAGAGCAAGGACCGAAGCCCAGGGCTCGGGTTTGCCACCTTCCCACTCAGGAGGGCACGGGAAGCCCCCAGCGTGGGGTCTGAAGCACAGGAGGGGAGGAGCGGGGGCCTTGTTCCTTCCCCTTCACCCCTCCCCAGGACTCAGGGCAGGCGACTGGGAGCTTTGATCTCTTGTACCTCTTTCACTGCGTTCACCTTCTCCGGGGCCAGCTTAAATAATTCATCAAACATGTCCTCTGCAATCAGAGCCAATAAACACCTCATCACCATGCCGTTACCTTTGTGCCAAACAGGGCCATATTTCCATACAAGTTTCTCAGGGTCCCCAGTCTGGAGGGAGCTGTAGTTCTACCTCTGGCTTCTTCTTCTTCTTCTTTCTTTTTTTTTTTTTTAAAGATTTTATTATTTATTTGACAGAGAGAGACACAGTGAGAGAGGGAACACAAGCAGGGGCAGTGGGAGAGGGAGAAGCAGGCCTCCAGCAGAGCAGAGAGCTCGATGCGGGGCTCGATCCCAAGACCCTGGGACCATGACCCGAGCTGAAGGCAGATGCTCAACTACTGAGCTGCCCAGGTGCCCCTACCTCTGGCTTCTTGAATTTAAAAAATGGGCCTGGGTCTGTCTGGGTCAGTGTTCCCCACTGCATGGCCCAGAGGGAACCGCCTCCCCTCTCTGGGCCTTGGTGTCCTGTCTATAAGGCGTGGGTGTTATCAGCTACAAGGCAGGGTTGTTTGCAGAGAGGAAATCTGGGGTCACGTGACACACTTGGCCCAATGGCTGGGCACACACAGTAGGGCTTCACAAACAGGCCCCCTTTCTGTCGTGGATGCCTAAGGCTTCTGCTCGGCCGCCACCCTGTTCTCTTGGAAGCTGCCCCCCCAACTCCTCCCGGTCCCCTGCTCGGCCCACAGGACCTCAGAGTGACCACAGGTGGCTGAGCAGGCCCACATGGACACTCGGCCCATAGGTCTCCTCCCCAGCACTTCTGGATTGGCAGAATGAGGACATCGAGCCCTGCATCGCACAAAGGTCAGCGCCCTCAGCAGCTGAGTCATGCCTGCGAGGCTCGGAAACAAAGGAGGCATCCTGGCAGCTCAGCAGCTCAGGCCCCGTCCCTCCTCAGACGCCCGAGTCCTCAGACGCATGCCTTTTTCCTACAAGCTGGCTTCCTCGTATTTGCAGCCCACACGTCTCCCTGGGGGAGACCCGTCCTCGCCCGGTCTGGCTAGCAGAAATCACCTTCAGGCTCTGCTACTCAGCAGCTGTGCAACCCTGAGCAAGTCACTTCACCTCTCTGTGCCTCAGTTCTCTCATTAGCAGAAGGGGAAAGGCAGCACCAGATAGCAGCATGGCCTTTCAAATGCACCCACAAATATGGTGGAAACCCCAGTGGTTCCCTCCAGGCCCCATGGCCCGTGCTCCAGGGAACTATGTCCCCAAAGGAGCCAGGAGATTAAAGGCAAGTGGGTGCTCAGGTGACAGGAGCCAGAACAGCGTGAGTGTGCTGGAAGGGGTGGTGAGGAGCTCCCGCTCTGTGTCCCTGCCCCTCACTGCGCGACCCACCCTCATGCTGGCCCCCGACAAACTCTGATCCCGGAGCAACAGCCCCCGCCATCCTCATGCTGCCCTACACACACACACACACACACACACACACCAGCCTCCCTGCATCTCCCCTCGCCTTCCCTCCCCTATGCATCCTCCCTCAGCCTGTTCCCAGAAGCCCCTCGTGGGCCATTATTTCCGCCTCTGCAGGTGGGCTGCCCCTCATGGAAGCCCCTGCCCAGACAGCCGTGTGTCCTGAGCGGGGATGGCTTAGGAAGGAAGATCATGTTAGGAAGCAGGGATGATGGATGGACTGGTGGGCGGGTGGATACTCAGAGGCATTGGTGGGCAGCTGGCTAGATGGATGGACAGTTGGACGATGGGTGGACCGGTGGGGCGGGTGAGCGGATGGACGGGTAGACGGGTATATTGGTGAGCGGATGGACGGTTGAACAGCCGACCAGGCCAACTGACTGCGGAATGAAGGAATGGGGGCGCCTGCGTGGCTCAGCGGGTTAAGCCGCTGCCTTCGGCTCAGGTCACAATCTCAGGGTCCTGGGATCGAGCCCCGCATCGGGTTCTCTGCTCAGCGGGGGGCCTGCTTCTGCTTCTGCCTGCTGCTTCCCCTGCTTGTGCTCACTCTCTCTTTCTCTGACAAATAAATAAATAAAATCTTTTTAGAAAAGGATTTTTTGGCTATAGATGGTACAATGTCAATATAAAAAAGAGGTGCCTGGGTGGCTCAGCGGGTTAAGCCTCTGTCTTTGGCTCGGGTCATGATCTCAGGGTCCAGGGATCGAGCCCCGCATCGGGCTCTCTGCTCAGGGGGGAGCCTGCTTCCCCACCCCCCTGCCTGCGTCTCTGCCTACTTGTGATCTCTTTCTGTCTGTCAAATAAATAAATAAAATTTTTTTAAAAATTTAAAAAGAAAAAAAAAAAAGAAAAACACCATACTGATTAAAACATATGGAACAAATAAAAAATCCATGAGTTCTGGGGAAGCTGGGTGTCTCAGTCAGTTAAGCATCTGACTCTTGATTTTGAAACTCAGATCATGATCTCAGAGTCGTGAACTCAGGGTCATGATCTCAGGCTTATGAGATTGAGCCCCATACTGGGCTCTGCACTGGGTGCAGAACCTGCTTAAGATTCTCTCTCCTCACTCTCTCTCTAAAAAAAAAAAAAAAAAAAAAAAAAAACCACAAAAGTTCACATCAGTAAAAAAAAAAAAAAAAACAGAGAAAAGAAAATTAAAAGAAACAATTATAAAAAAATGATTGAAAGCAAGAAGGAATGGCCAGACTAATGCTGCTATGGATGGGTGAAGAGGTCTGTCACAAAAGCAGCAGCCACGGTCCCAGATCAGCCACGATGAGGCCCCCACGATGTGCTAAGCGCATTCACAAATTCTTTCAACCCTCATCACCAGCCCAAGAGGCCGGTGCCGTCGTTAATCCCACTTCACAGATGAGAAAGTTGAGGCACAGACAGGCTAAGACCCTCGCCCAAGTTCTCCCAGCTGCTGAGAGGAAGCATCAGAAACCAGGCTATCCGGGTGTAACAGCCCCACCATCAGACTGCTGGGATTCTAAATCCCCCACACGAGCGATATCAGGAGAGGAAAGAGCCAGATCCATGGACAGACTGACAGACAGGAGGAGGGACAAATGGACCAGAAGAATCCTCGAGGTACACACAGAGGGGTGCAAAGGGGTGAGAACGCCCAGCAAAGCAACCCTTGTCGCCACGTCTGTGTCCACACGCACCCGAGAGCAAAAGATCTCCTTAAGCCGCGGTTGTACTCACTTGCAGGCTGGTCCTTGTCTGTGCTACAGGGAGATTGTAGGGGGAGAAAGGCAAAGAAATGGTTAAAAAAAAATACCGTCTTCAGACCTGGAGTTTCTTCCTATGACAAGACTTGGCACGGGGAGAGCTGACTGCAAAGCCGGCAGGCTCCGTCTTCCCTGGCAGCTTCGTAAGCGGGCAGGGGCACCTTCCCTGGAGGTTTCCACCCCGAGCTATGTCTGGGTTTTGTCATTTCTGTGGTTGTCACTTTAGTTGGGACGGGAGGCATTACACGTGCAACCAGACACACAAATTGTAAGTTTATTGCGGGTGCGTTTTTCATATCCCCTGTGGGGTCAGCACCCCGGTGAGATACAGACCCTTCCTAGCAGCCCCCGTGCTCTCCCCCCTCAAACCAGCATGACCGCTGCTCTGGTCCCCCCCACCGTGCATGCGTCTGGCCTGTTCTGGGAGTCTGTGTCCGTGCAATCACCCAGGACACCCTCTTCTGGGTCTGGCTTCTTTCACTCTGCGTTTCTTGTTTTGAACGGTTTTCCTTTGTCTTTGGTTCAGTTTTCCAGCCCCGCCCTTTAGAAGCAATGTTCTGGGCCCAAAGCAGGCCCAGTGGTCCCAGGGGAGCCAACTGCCCCCCACCCCGTGCCTGTGCCCCCAGCAGGGGACCGGGCCATGCAGGGCAGAGCAGGCGGCCTCAAGCAAAGACCCGGAGCTCATCAGCAGGAACCAGGGTGCCGGAGGGAGAGATGCCCCCGTGCGCCCGAGACGTCAGGGGAGCCGTCAGAGTTCCGAGCTCATAAAGGCGCGGAGAAAGATGACTGTAGGACCACAAGTGGGGCAGGAATGTGATACCATGAGCAGACGACAACTCCCCACACAAGTTCCTGAAGCTTTGGCTTTGGAGAGGGAGCCAGGTCACCGCCACCAAGCAGCAGAGTGACTGGGAGGTCACTCAGCCTCACTGGGTCAGAGGGCAGCCCTGGGGAAGGTTAAATGGGCCTGTGTGTGCACCAGACCCCCTGGCACGAGGGGCCTCCTCCTGACCTTCGCCCTGCTCGGCACACGAGCTTGGGTCACAGCGGACCCTGGCCATCAACTTGCTGTTGGTTTCAGTACCTCCCACTCCCCATGGGAGCCACAGACTGGGGGGACCCCAGGGTTGGAGGGAGTTCACGTGGGGGAAGGCCCCCTTGCACACATTGCCTGTAACCTTCACAAGTGAGCTGGATTCCTTGGGGTTGCTCGGGCCACCACAGTCTTAATGGCTGGAGGGGGTCCCTGAGATTTTCAGAGGAGCTGAGGCTCAACCCAGTGGGAGGTGACTTGTTGGAGGTCACAGAGCTCGTATCCCACCGATGGGGAGCCAAGCCCAGGTCGGGCTGCGTGCCAAGCCTGTGAGCTACAGAGAACTGACTCCCCTAGTCAGGCTCTGCGAGGGTCAAACAGGTCCCAGGATCTACACAGCCCACCCTGCCCGTAGTGGGCACCCAGCAAATGTCAGGCCCACTCTCACTCCAAGGCCCACTCTCAGACCCCCCCAGAAAGACCCGGCCAGCCCGGCCTGGGAGAGCCCCTACCTCCAGGAGGGCAGAGGGCAGGGCTCACTGGCAGAGCATTCTGCTCGCCCAGACAGACGGAAAGTAAACAGATGGACAGCTGGATGACATGGACACTCAAGGAGGGAGCCTTCCATCCCGCACACAGTAGGTGCTCAATAAATGCTGGTGGTATGAGGGAGTGTTTGGTGCGCTTGTCTCCGGGCACTGGGAGGCCAGAGGGGTTCGTACCCCCGCTATAATGCTGTAGCATCTCCCTGCCGTGGGTGATTCCCTCACCCACATCCAGTACATGTGCACCAGGCAAAGGGGAACCAACATGGCATCGGGGTCCTCTGCCCCCAGGTCTGGACTCCTCCTGGCCCGCAATAGCTATGATGTGACCTCAGGACCAGGAGCCATGGCCCCTTTTCTAAGCCCGACTCTGCCTGTTTTGTTGGGTTGTGCAGAGGACGAAATGAGCCGGCAGGGTGGGCTTGCCTACAGCCCATAAGGGGCCATGCCCTGTGAGGCCCAGAGAGATGCAAGGGCGCCCAGTGGGGCTAAGGGGACAGCAAGGCCCTCTGGGGGCTGAGACAAAGCTAGAGAGGTGTGAGGGTCCCTCCCACAAAGGTCAGGTAGATCAGACCCCGGGCCCCAGGCCCCACAGCCCATTCCCAAAACAACACAAGCTGGTCTCCGCTGTGGGCCCCGGTTCTTCCCTCACCTGCAGTCAGTGAGCTGTTCCACTGACTTCTCGGACTTCAGACCACTTTTGGTGCTCTAAGAAAGAAAAAAGGGGAAGAAATTGAGTAATCCCAGAAAACTCAGGGACCCACTCCAGCCATGAAGACTGTAGTGGCCCAAGCAGCCCCAAGGAATCCAGCTCACTCTACCTCATCCCCTCCTTAGGGTGGTTCCTGGAAGCTCTCATCACGGTGGCCTGGCTCATTTGTCTTTCTTTCTTATAAGCCTTGAATCCCATGAGGATGAGAACAATGTCTGTCTTGTTCCCTAGGTATCCCCAGAGTCTCACCCAGTGCCTGGCTCATAGGGAGTCGATGAACATGAGTTGATCTGAATAATGATTGAATGATCCCAGATGGATGGATGAATGGACAGATGGATGGATGGATGGATGGATGGATGGATGGTGGATGGGTGGGTGGATAGATGGATGGATGGATGGATGGATGGATGGATAGACAGATGGATGGACGGGTAGGTGGATGTCAGGATGTGGGTAAAAGTGTGGGTGGACAGGTGGGTGCATGGATTAATGAATGAGTGAATGAGAAAGTGAAGGAGTAAAGGAATAAAGTCCCCTCTGATTTATATAAGAAATACGAACAAAGTCATGACGCTATTTAGTAGAGAATTTTAATCAATGGTTTTGAAAAAAAAATGATTTCACCTGAATGAAAGATAAGCTCCAAGACAGGAAGGGCCGTTGCTCACCAGGTACTCAGAGATTGGGGGAGGGAGTGTGGTGCTCAAAGTGTGCCTGAGGGAGAAGCCGTGGTTCCGGGGACATAAACCTCAGCGCCAGTTGTGAGTGGGCTAGAGTGAGGGGGCCCATGGGTGGAGAAACCTGAGAAGGCTCCCTTGCCCGGTCACAGCCCTCCATAGTGACCAAGGGACAACACTGCCGTGATGTAGGCCAAGGCTATGAAGCCTCCTGAAAGGCGATGAGCAGATGCCCACTTATGGTCCACGTGACACAGCTGCCATCAGCCAGGAGTTTCCTAACAGCCCCAGGCAGACGCTATCTGCTGAGCTAAGTGGGACCAGCCAGCCCGCAGACCCACTTACAGGGCCCCTGGACTTGACGTCTCCCACCCACAGCTCCAGTCCAGCCCCCACGGCGGTCCTGGAGGGATGTGATCTCTCTCAAGAGAGGGTCAGGCCCCTCCCATGCCGTACCCCCCAACACAGGGTACAGGGATATGCATCCAAAATGCTCAGCCTACACACAGTGGTCCCCCAGGGCCCAGCCTCGTACCTCCATGGTGATCACATCCACCTGGACGTTGGTTGGGAGGGGCAGGTCAGGCTGGAAATGCTTGGCCAAGGCCACGAGCAGATGCAAGGTGGCCAGCAGGTCCTTGCTGAAGATGGCTGGGAGGGGAGGGGACACAGGTCAGAACCGAGGAGTCACCAAAGCTGGGGCTGTCTCCTTGCTGTCACAACCACCCTCTGAAGACCAAGGAGCTCTGTGTCCAGCCTTCTGGAAGGCAGAGGTGTGGAGACATTCATTCTGAACCCAAAGCAGTCACCCTTTGCCTTCAACAGCCTGCCCTGCTAATGCAGCCCATGGGCACAAGGCACCGTGCAGACGGGGCTTCGGACACAGTCCCTGCCGACAGTTGTGAGCAACTCGATGCCCTCCAGTGGGGCCCTGGCTGGAGGAATTGGTGGATTCAGGTGAGCGTGACTTAATTCAGGGCTGACATTATGCACATCAGTCATTGAAAGTGAGTCTTTAAGCATCATGGTCAAGGCAATGGCATGAGACCCAACCAAAACTGGGCTTGAAAACGGCTCCATCATCACCCCCAGCCCTGGAGAAGGTGCCAAACCCCTTTTAGCCTCAGTGTTCTCATCTGGAAAATGGGAGGGATGTGGCGCTCTGAATGGCAGGAACATCATACTGAACCACCAGCAGGCTGGGGGAGGGGGTCTGGGTGCTGGACTCATGCTCATTTCTCACAAGCCAGGCCTGCAGGTATGACTTAAATCAACTAATGAAAGAGACTGGTGGCACCCATTGGGCAAGAGAAGTGGGGCTTGTGGTGTTGGGACTCAAGCGGGAGCTGCTGCATTTTTTACTGTGTTCTCGCCGCTCAACGGTGCGCTCAGTTGCAGCCACGCTGCCACGCTCCGGGGTGCGAAGGGCTGTCCGCTCCCAGCAGGTGCACAACTGTGCCCAGGAGGCCATGCTTCTGTTTCTTCCAAGTCCCCGAGGTGTCCCCATACCAGAGGCAGGTGTGCACACACACTGCGGCAACAGAGGCCACTGGTGCAAAGGGACCTGGGCGCCCCCGCCCCAGCCAAGGCCCCACTTACTTTCCACACTCCACTTGAGCTGCCTTTCCTCCGCCTGCAGGCTGCGGGTGATGGCCTCCAGCACCACCTCCAGCTTGCGCCTCTGGCTCGGGGCGGTCAGAGCCATCTCCTCCACCTCCAGCTTGACCCCGGTCAGCATCTCTACGGGCAGGAGAGAGCAGGAGAGCCAGGGAAGGCGTCAGGGGAGAGGTGGGGGGCAGCAGAAGAAGGAAGAGGGGAGGACGGTTGGGGAAGGGGAGAAGGCACTGGAGGTCCCCCCCACCATTAGCTGTGTGACCTGAGCAAGCCCACACCCTCTGAGCCGCCCTCCACTGGCCCTTCTCCTTGACCACCTGGTCCCCGCTCCCTTAGCACTCTGCACAGCTCTGTGCACCTCCTTTCTACAAGGCAGTGTGACCTTGACTCCTAGGCTCAGATCCTGACTCCCCCGCCTTCTTTACTCCGAGACCTTGGACAAGTGACTAAGCCTCTGTTTCCTCGTCTGTAAAATGGGGACACTAATAGGATAGGGTTTTCCCTGAGGATTAACCGCACTTGCTCCACGGCAGGGGGAAGGGGCTGGTGGGATCATTCGGTAGCCAACTATAAAGGGCTCCATGACCAACCAGTGCTGAGCCAGGCCCCAGGCTGGTGGAGGACCGGAATCAGGCCCAGCCCTGCCCTCAGGGACCTCACAGCTTTGTGTAGAAGGAAAGTGTGCGGACCAAACCTGACACCTCAACAGCAAGGGGGAGGGTAATCGGGGGCAGGGTGGGGGGTCTGCCTGGGGCAGGAGGCAGCCCTGAGAGTGAAGGCGCCCTGGGGAGCATTAGGCATTTCCAGATTGAGACACCTCCTCCCCGGGTGGGGGCCCGATGCACCTCTACTCGTCCGGGTCATCTCACTGCTGGCCGGCCTTCTTCGGCAGCAAGTACAGCCCAAGGCCGGGGACCTGGGTTCTTTTGTTAACCCCGGGAGCCCATAAACAGCAGGCACTCCACACATGACGTTCAGTGGGTGAGAAGCCCCCCACAGGGGCCTGGGCGGGCCAGGATGGGGGGCTGGGGCCCCAGCCTGGGGGCTGCCACTTACGGAAAAGGTGGTGCAGGATGAGCCCATCGAATATGTCCTCCTCCAGGCTGCGGACCACAATGTGCTCGGGGAGGAGCTTGGTGTTGATCCACTCTATCAGCACCTGTAGACCCCAACAGGACCGCTGACCTGGGACCACTCCTCACCTGGTCCCCCACCTGGCTCGGGTCCAACCTCAGTCTGGAATGCCCTCCTCCCTCCTACCAACTCCTACCCATCCTTCAAGGCCAGGTCAAACATCACCTCCTCTGGGAAGCCCTCCCTGCTCTCCCAGGCTGAGTGAGGGGACTACTCTGGGCTCCCAGGGACCAGGGAACGGTAGGGTTGTCTTTTGTCCTGTGCAAGGTGTCCGTGCCGGGAAGCTACCGTCACAGGTACCTGTAACTGGGGAGGTGGCTGTGGGACTGGATAATTGGGAAGAGCTCTGAAAGCCCCTGATAGAAAAAGCCTAAACTGCCTTGAAAAGGCTGTGGGTAGAAATCTGGACATGAAGCAGGCAGTTCTGGTGAGAGCTCAGAAGGCGAGGAAAGACACAATACTGGGAACACAGAGGAGGCCACGTGACAAGAGAGGCCAAGAGTGGAGTGGCACATCTACACTCCAAGGGACACCAAGGGTTGTCGCAGACCTCTGATAGCAGGAGAAAGGCCTGGGATGGGTTTCCCCTGAGAACCTCCAGGAAGAACCCCCCGCCCACCCCTTCGCTTGGGACTTCTGGCCTCCAGGCTGGGAGACCATCAACCTCTTGTTTGAAGCCACCTGGTTTCTGATACTTAGTGGTGGCAGCCCCAGGACACCAGCATGGGGGCTGTGGGTGTCCCACCCTATCCCCTGACTTCCAGCTAGGGGGCACCCCCTGTTCCCCTTTGTGACTCTGCCCAGGCTCTACCCTACCCTGCCTGGGCTCAAGAGGCCAGAAGGGCAGGAAGCAGAGCCCTGTGCCTTTAAGGGAGCAGCACCAGCTACTCCAGAGTTGGTGAGGAAACCTCCAAGCTCCTCCACCTCTGCACCTGTTCCCAGAGGGGCCCAGCGGGCTTCAGCTCCCACAGTGGCCACCCCTGCCCCTGTGGTCCCTCCCTCCCCATCTCCCTTCCCCACTTGCTTTCCTTGTCTCCTGCTCTTAACCTCCCGACTCACTACTTGCATCCAAACCCTTGTCTCAGGATCAGCTCTTGGAGGGGCCCAAATTAAGACGTGTCAGTGCCCTGTCTGGTTTTCCAGAGGGACCATGCTGGTCCTACCCTGGGTCCCAGTGCCTGATGGTGGGAAAGGTGGGATGGAGGGAGCGAGGGAACAGGAGGCAGAAAGGAAGGATGGGGATTGGCCACAATCTGGAGGTGGTACAGGCCAGGAGGCCTCCCTGGAGGATGCAACAGAAAGGCCATGCGGAGACTGGAGAAGTAAGGCAGAGGAAAACGGAGAGCTGAGCTTGCCTATGCTCAGCTGGTCTAGCAGCCACAGCAGGAGACTCTGAGCCAAGGAGAGACAGGCAGACGTGAGTGACCCACACCCGTTTCTGCCCATTTTGCCAGCTCTCCTTGGCCTCGGACAGGTGAAAGGGCACAAGGTTTTGAGCCTGGGTCACACTCCAGCTCTGGTCGGCCACTGGCCAGCCATGTGTCCCCCACAGGTCAGGTGACCCCTCTGAGCCTGACTATCCCCTCCACGGGATACAAAACAGCAGGTCCCTTTTGACCGTTGTGGGGCTTATTGGGATCGTCTAGGTAAAGGCACACTGTCGGTGCTCCATGAACGTTCTGTCGTGTGGTCAGTCATTCAGCAGGTCTGCCAGGGAACTGCGGGATCCCCACCGGCTGGCCTGAGGCCAGACAGGAGAGGGGTGGCCCGCTGTCCCCACCCCAAGAAGACGAAAAGACCACCTCTGAGGAGAGAGACCACAGGAAGCTGCCGTACCTTTTGCAGTTCCTCAAATTTGGGATCCTGCCGGGAAGTGGGGGGCAGGTATTTCCTCTTTTCTCCTGGAAGCAGAGGAGAGCATGACACCCATGTGGGGACCCTGCAGGGGGCTGGGCAGCTCTCTCCCTGCAGGTCACCTGAGGCAGGCACCTTGACACAAGGCAAATTTGGTCCTCTTGCTTCACGTGTATACACACCCATGCACACGTGCGCACGCACACACCCATGCACATGCGCACACGCGCACACACATGCACACACACACCCTGAGCATCAAACATCCAGAGTGACTTGGATTCCCCAGACACGCCTCACCGCCCACGCCCCTTCCTTAGCCCACCTGCCCCCGCCACACCCCAAACGCCCTTCCCGCTCATTTCCCTCCTGAGTACCCGCTCATCCTCGGGCACAATATTTATATTTTGGGGACATACTTAGCCTGAAAAACTATTTCTTGTTTGAAATTCAAATTTAACTCGGCCTCCTGTGTTTTATCTGGCGATTCTACCCACTCCCTTAAGAAGACACGGGGCTCACACAAGCCCAGGGGCCGGGCACCGAGGGGCCGAGGCGGACTCCCATTGCGTCTGTCTGGCTCCCTGGTGTGGGCAGGACACCGAGGCCGCCGCGGCTGACTCTCCGAGCCCCGGGACCCTGGCCGGCAGCTTCCTGACATTTTGGACTCACGGGACCCACACACGTCAGGGCCGAGAGGAAACTGTAAGATCATCTAGTCTCAGGGAACATGGGGGAAACTGAGTCACCATGTGGGGAACTGCCTTGTCCAAATTCACAAGATGAAACGCCTCCGTCTTCTTCATAGGACGCAGCTGGAGACATTTCCTAGACGTTCTGGAAACCTTCAAGGACTACCCAGCCCCATGTCTCCTGACAAGAAGGAGGGAGACCTAACCCGCTGGGCACCGGCAGGCTCTGGACCCACGCCTGGGGAGTGGGTGGCTGGACGGCTCTGGTGGCGTCCCCCCACCCCTTCCTGGAGCAGGTTTCCTGCCGCTCTGAATCATCCCACGTTCCAGCTCTGCCTACTAGTGCTTCAAGTATTTCTAAATCAACTGTAAAACAAAAAACAAATATTTTTTTCAAATCACTAAGACCTACTGCTAACAGCAGTTTTTCTCCTGACGCTTTCCAGCCTCAAACCCTCTACAAACAGAAAGCCCTGGACAGCTGGACAGCTCAGGACGTCAGCCCTCGACACTGGCCACCCCTGCCCGGCCCCCGGGGTCTCACTCACCGCCCCAGGGTCTCTCCGCATCCCCGCCTATCTCGAAAGGCTGTCTTCAGAGCACCTAGATCAAGTCACTATCTGCTCTTTGAATCATTTCACTCTTTCTCTCCGTCCTCATACTTATGTTTGAAAGGTGACATAAATTCTAGAAAGTTCGCCTAAAGCCCCTGCTGAGCGGGACTTTTTGGGATAGCTTCCTATGTTGCTTCTTTCCTGTGACAGGGTGAGGACGGCCTGGGGCACCTGACCTGTCCTTTCTGACTGTCCCCTGGGTGGGAGGTTCCGGGGGCAGTGGCCACAAGCTCCTCCAGCTCAAAAAACAGACTTGTGCCATTACCCCATCCTCCGGCCACCCCCTTCACAAAGGGACCCAGGCACGTGAAGGAAGCAGATCGGCAAGCCCCCACCCACGAGGCATCCGGTGTCCACTGTCCACTACAGTAACAGACACCTGCTACCTGCCACCTTCCTTTCTGGGCCTCAGTTTCCTCGTGGACGCCAAGGAGGCAGAAGAACCCACCCTCAGAGCAACAGATGAGCCGTCTCTGGGACTAAATACACAGCAGCTGCTGGAATCCCTCTTCAACGTCACCATTGACATCGAGACATGCGGTTATGAGGATACAGGGCGCCTGCCGAAGTTTCTGGAAGCAGGGGCAGGGGGCTGTCAACGATGAAGCAGACGCATCGGCAGGGGCCCAACAGACCCGGGTGCTCAGTTGAGAACTTGAAAACAAGGCAGCGCCCAGAGCTGCCTGTTTGGGTCCTGCTGTGCAGACCCTCACCGTCCCCGCCCTGGCCGGCCCCCCAGCCCCACGTGGGCACGGCACCTTGTGAGAACTCCTCCTCCGCCGGTGGGCCTGTCACCTTGGGGAGCTGCAGCAGGCTGTAGGACTCTGACTCCATTTGCCCCTTGCTGGCCCTGGGGTTGTGGGAGATAGTGGGCATCAGGTCCGCGGAGCCCCACACTCCTTCTGTGAGTCACTTCCTCCTGACCCCGAGGCACAGGGAGAGAGGGTGGGGGCTGCCTAGGCAAGGGGCAGGTCCCCCCATGAGAAGTAGGCGTGGGGCCGATTCTTCCGGGTCCCTGAGCCCGAGGCAGGGGGCACAACGTGAACGAGTGGACTAAGCTCGCCTGCCAGCGTCACCTGACTCCTGTGCCATCTGCGTAGGCCTGGCTTACAGAGGCGGCCTGGCCCTGCCTGTCCAGGCCTCTCTGTGGTTTGGGGGGTCTCAGTGCTCCCACCAGCATGGGGGCCCACATTCACAGGGTGGGCACTGCCCCCCTCTGCGTGTTCATTAAAGGCAGGGGGCTGGGCTCACCCCCTGCAGGATGGGGCCAGTCCAGAAGCCGCCCCTGTCCTCCTTCCTGTTCCCCGGGGCTCACTTCCTCTCCTGCTCAGCCCACAGCATCTCCCCGCCCTTCGGCCCCAGCGTCTTCCCCAGCGTTTCTGGTCCCGAACAGACACTGGGGCCAGGGTGTCCGCCATCAGAATGGTGGCCAGCTCCAGCCCCTGGGGAGGCTCCCAAAGATGGGGACCTTCACAGGGGCTATAGCCTCCCCATCCCCCAACGGCCAGCCCAGGGACCAGGCCACTGCTGGTTCCATCCTGCCCTGAGACGAGGATCGGGGAGAACACAGCCATGGGGCCAGCCCTACCCCCTCAACTCCCCAGCCTCCATCTGGACAGGATTCGTCCGATGGCCAGAGAAGAGGAAAGAGCCTTGCCTGGGGGTTTCGGGGGCCCAGGTTCTCTTTGTGTGACTTAGCACAAATCCCCTCCCTTTCTGGTCCTAAAAATCTTTACAAGATAGGCCTGAGCTCACCGAAGGCCATGGAGTGTGGAGTGGGCTTAGAGCCGGGATGGCCTCAAGCCCTTTCCGCCCCGGGCAGCCCCTCCCTGCCCCGGGCCTCAGTTCCTTCATCTGAAACTGGGAGTCCTCTCTTCCCCGCATGCCGGGTGAGGCTCAGGGGAGGCGGCAGGTGGGAAGGGAGGTCGCCCACCTGGCCACACAAGGGGATGGTACCCATCTGCCTGTCCGGCCCCAGGAAGGAAGAATGGCCGCTGCTAAGCCTGGGGCCGGAGGGGCCCAGCCTGACCCCCTCCCTGTGTGGCCTCAGCTGAGGCTGTGCTCTCTGGGGTCGTTTCCACAAGCCCCCAGGAGGCCTCCCTCGCTGAGCTCTGGCTCCCAGGCATTAGAGAGAGGCAGAAAGCCCCGAGCCGAGGGCTCCCATGAGCTCAGACGCCAGGACGACTCACCTGGCAGCCTCTTCCACACCAGGAGGTGAAGGTCTTGGAGCTTGTGATCACGGGCTTCCCAGTAAAAGCTAAGTCCCAGCCGTGGGGGGCTGGAGGGGCCGGGGGAAGGCAGGGGCCACGCGCGCGGCTCACTTCCTCCAGGCCTCTGGCTTCCGCTGAGCCTGCCCGGCAGTGTTGGCACGGAGCTTCCTCCTTGCTGGGCCGCAGGGCCTGCTGCCTCCACGGGCCCACCGGAAAGCCCTGTCCCGGAGCCCCGAACGCCCAGCCACACCTGCCGGCCCTCAGATGCCTCGCAGCCAGCTCAGATCTGCCATTTCTTCCCTCTCTCCCTCTCCCCTCCCCAGCACCCGACCCGAGCCAGTCCCTCCTGGCCTCTCCATCTCTGGGCCAGCGCCAGCTGGCTGCTGAGGCCACAGACCACACATCCCAGCCACCAGCGAACCCTGAGCCCTGCCTCGGGCCATCCCGCCACCCCCACCCCAGCCAGCCCCTCCCCCTTTCTCCGGCCTGCACCACATAGAAGCCTCCTTGCTCGACTCCCACAGCCCATCCCTCACGCCCCAACCCCTGCCTGGGATGCTCACGTCCCAGACCCCTCACCAATGGCATCCCATTATTCTTAAAATAAAATCTACTCTGCACAGCCCAGCACGTGTCCTGATGGACCTGCCGGCTCGATCACTCCCATCTCTAAAGCTCCCAGCCATGCTGACCAACTTTCTGCTTCTGGAATACCTTACTGTCTCCTCTGCCTAGAAGCCCCTGCCCCAGTTTTTTAAAGGGGCTAAGTCCTCATCCTTATTATCACCGTAAATGCCTCCTCCTTCAGGAAGCCTTCCTGAACTGCCTCATCTAAAAGAGGACATCTGTAGGATTCTTTACCACAGGTCTGAAAATCTTCTGTGTCCCAGTCCCTGGAACAAGGCCTGACGCCAAGCAGACTTGATGACCGCTGCTGACTGCTGTCGCGTAGGGGGCGACATTCTTCCAGAGGAGAAGTGGGGCTCGACGGAGGAGTAAGAGTTCGCCCACTACAGACGTGTGCGAATGTTCCAGGTGGAGGGAAGGGTGCGTGCAACGGTGTTACGGAGTTTGAGGAGAGGCCCGGGATGGCAGGAGAGGCGGCGATCCACTCAGACCCGAGCTGGGGTCCTGCACGTGAATCGTGACGAGCCAGGATGAAACTGAATGTTCATGGCAGCAGCGACCGTGCTGAGGGACTGGGACGCCAAGCACCCCCGTTTCTGCTGACAGATCAGGCCGGAAAGGGGCAGAGAAGGTGGGAAGCGGGAACAAGGGCGCGTGTGAGCAGGAAAACGGCGTCGTTCCCAAGAACTTAAAAAACGACAGGAAGTATGAGCGATTGTGACCGTTACTATTTATTGAGTAACTGAAGACGAAACATAGTTCTAAGGGCTTCAGTCTCCCGGGGGCAGCCTGTGGGGCAGGTGCTGCTGTCCTCCCGGCTTGCAGAAGACGACACAGACGGTCAGGATTCCGTTTCTGCCATCCCGACGGCACCGTGGGAGCCCGGGGTTTGTGGCGCGGCAGGGAAGGAACCCACTGGGCCTGGGCAGGTGCGTCGGGCCCGGTGTGGCCCCGGGGGCCGGTGCGCTGCCAAGTCCCCGCAGAGAGGCCCGTCTGAATGGGGAAGCTGAGGAGCGGCTAGTAAAGCCGGTTAGTCGAGGCCGGTTTAAGAGAACCTGGAAGAGACGGTGCTGCCCTCGCCACCCCCCACCCCTGGCCCCGGGACTGGCAGCACGAGGGAGCCGCCGCAGCCCTGAAGCCCGCCAGGGCAGAGCCCAGGGAGGACAACGGGCCCAGAAAGAGACAGCCGGAGCTCTGAGCCGGCCGCCAGCTGGGGGCTGTGGCAGAGGGGGGCATGCTGACCCATGGTGGCCCCACAGAGGGGCGACAAACACCCTGACCTCACGCACGCTCTCCCCCCACTCTCCTTCCTGCCAGGGCCTCCTCCCACCGGCCAAATCCCAGCAGAAGCCAGGCGAGGAGGCAGATCTTAAGTGAGGGAGGGACGATGGATCTGCTGTGGGAAACCGGAGGGATCTTCCCGCCGTGGAAAGTTCCGCCATGGAAAGTGTGGGATAAGGGACTGGTCAGCGGTCGCACGGGCTTTGGACCAGGCGTCCCTCCGAAGCCAGGCCCTTCCCAGCAGCGGTCTGAGAGCCTTAGCATCTGAAGAGCACCGAGGCCTCGCTCTGCAGGTCAGCGGTACTAGAATAGTGACAATTTTAATGCTGCGTCGAGGGAAGCTCAAGGCCCCTGAACAACCCCCCCCACAACCCGTGACTTCTGCAGGGAAAGTTTATAGCACGACCACCATGGGGCGTCACCCGGGCCCCGCGCCCTGCAGTGCAAGGAGCACCCCATCCCCCCGGAGCGGCCTTGTCCAGCTGGTGCCACCGGCCTGCCGGCCACCCCTGTGCCACGTTGGACCCGGGAGCTAGGCCAACTCACCCAGCTCAGTGACTCACTGTGACTCACCCGCGACTGTGACTCTGTCCCCTCTTCCCCCGTGGCTCCTGTCCAGCAATGCCTCCACCCACGCGGGGCCCGCCCCCCACAGCGGGCTGCGCACTGGCTGACTGGGAGCTCCTGGGCCCAAGCACCAGGCAGGCACGACCAGAGGCCACGAAGTGCGTGGAAGCAGAACCAGACAGAGGCAGCGCATGGCCCACGCTCTCAGGTCTTTATTGGAATAAGTAAGAGCACGTGGCCGGTCCCGCCCGGCATTTCCCGGCCCCAGGCTCTGGCTTCCGGGAGGTCAGGTTCACGGCAGGGCCCACAGCAAAGCGGAGGAGCCAGGAGAGCGGTGCTGGCAACACAGCCCGGGGTTTAGCAACTTTTATTCGACATCCAACGTCCAAAAGCGACACTACTTAGAACAGTTATAAACACAATGAAACACGGGCATGCAAAAGGGGGTGAGAAAAGCATTCAGTGCCTATAAAACACAGCTGTTTATCACATCCAGTGAGGACATTAGGGCTCCGCGTGCAGAAGACCCCTTGGCTGGCGGGGGACCCAAACAGCCACTCCAAGAAGGATAAAAGGAGACCATCTCATGACCCTGGCCTGGGCCCTCACTCGGGCCCCGCAGACCCCTAGCCACGGCCGCTCAGATGCAAATGATCTCACTTCTGCTTACATGGGGAGGGTCCCCACCCAACCGAAAAACAAAGCACTGGAAAGGTGGGCCAATCAAGGAGGAAGGATTCTAGAACTTTCTGAGATTAAGGAAAGCGGCTTCTGCTGCACAAGTTTCCCCAAGAAAACGCCCCAGCATCACAGAGCCCACAACTCACAGCTATGGTCACTAAGCCGGGGTGGGGGGTGGCTGATCCCAGGAGGAGAGGCCACCTCCAGCATTGACCCCGCCCTCCGCCTCCACATGCGAAGGCCTAGGCCTGGCGCTGAACTCTGATTCAGAGCGGACAGTGAAGGCGGGGGAGGGGAATGAGATGTGTAGAGCTCAAGGAACTAACGTGAATAAAGGCAGTTTGGACAACAGATCACCCGCTTTGCTGGAACCTTGGGCTTGGACAGTCGGCCTGGACAAACGCACCTGCTCACAGGTGGCCTGTGTCTTGGGATCCCTTTTACTCTGCGACCAGAAATACAGAGGGCTTGACACATGCTCCCTGCCCCCCAGGACCACTGCCTCCCCCTCCAGGCGTGGACCCTGCTGGAACTTCCCCTCCTGTGCTGAACCCCCCCAAGACTGAGTTCTTTCCAAATGCCAGTCTCCCCTCCTTCAGCCCCAGGGGTCATCCAGGGTTGGGCACAGCCCCGCCAGGCCCGCCTGTGACAGCAGGGGGACCGGGCTCCGCGGCTCCGGCAGCCGGCTGGGATCCTGTGCGTGTGATGAAGTCGGCACGGAACATTCCAGCCCTCGCTCTTCTGTCGGTGTGGCCCTTTAATGCCGCCGCAGCCCACAGGAGACACCGTGATACTGTTTTAGTTATTTCTTTCTCCTGCTGGGAAACCACCTCCGTCAGAACGGCTCTTCGGAAACTACCGCCAGCCTCGCAGGGGCAGAGCGGAGACGGGCAAGGCTGGCGTTTCCTGAGTCATGAGCGCCGGTGTCCGACTTAATATTAACAACAGGGGCAACCGCTCAGATCGACAACAGGAAGGTGAAAATCGAAGATGAAAGAGGCCTATCCTGCTTGGTAGCTGATGCTGGGGCCTAGAAGGAGGCTGCAGTGTGGAGGGACCCTGTGGGTGGGGTCACACAGGGCAGACACCCCCCAGCAAAAGGCCCCCCATTTCTCTGGAGCCAAGGGGAGCGGGGGAGGGGCGAACGGCTTCCATTTCAAGGGTGCCCATAGGGAGATGCCAGCAGGGTTCCAGAAAGCCACACTGGGGAGGGGGATGAATTCTTCATGTCCCCCCCCCCATAAGGCCTGAACTGTGTCCCCCAGAATCCGTATGTTGAAGCTCTGAGCCCGAGTGCCCAGAATGCCTCTGTATTTGGAGATGGGTCTTTGCAGAGATCAGTATGGTACAATGAGGTCACAGGGGCGGCTCTCATCCATTAGGACGGGTGTCCTTGTAAGGAGAGGTGAGGCCGCAGACAGGTGCAGAGGCAGGACCACGTGGGGACCCCGGGAAGGGACAGCCATCGGCAAGCCAGGAGAGGGCCCTTGGGAGGGGCCAGCCCTGCCTTGATGCTGGATTTCCGGCCTGGGAGCTAGGGAACTGTCCGTTCCTGTTGTCTAAGCCCCCGCCTGTGGCGCTCTGTGATGGCGGCCCCCGCAAACTGAGAGACCCCGCTTTCTAAAGGCTTAAAAATGCATCGACTCCCAAACACACTGAGGGTCACCCGGGTCTTGGATGTCTGTGCAAAATGTAAGTGAGGAACACTGGCTGGTCAAGAAGAGGAACGTGGGTGGCCCTCCTGTCCCATCAAAGGCCTCTGGGACGTTAGAGGGAAGTTTTTAAATCTACAAAACGCTTTCTACTAAAAAAGGCCTGGCTTCCCAGGAGAGCCCTCCGCCATAGCCAGACTGACTCCCGGCTCCCATGGAGCTGTCGGTGCCGTTCGGATCGCCTGTGGCCGTGAACTGCTCCATGGAAAGGCCTGCAGGGCGCGCCCCTCCCCCTACCACGGGCAGAGGGGACTGTGTGTTGGGGCGGGGGTAGGGATCAATGTCTCAGCACTGGTGGGGCCACACACCAGCAATGGGGTACAGAACCCTGCCTTTCAAAGGATCCTGCCCACTGTGCATGACACGAGGGAGCTGAAAAGCCACAGCCAGAGGAGGACGGGCGGTGTTGGGGAGGGGGTGGGAACCTCGGCGGGCCGGCCTCCCCGCCCTGTGGAATCCCCTCCGCTCGCCGCTCTCACTCTAGGTCCTTGTACTTGGTGAACAGGTTGTACAGGACCCTTAGCGTGGACTTGAGATCCAGGTTCACCACATCTGCAGGAGGAAACAGAGACACTATTGGGGGCGAGAGCACTGAGGTCCTCGTGCCGGCCCACAGGAGGTACGGGGCCCCTGCCTGTCCACAGTGCAGTCCTTTGGTTTAAAGATCGACGGCCCCCCCATCCAAAATGCCCTGGGCAGCGCCATCCTGGGACAGGCAGCCAAGAGAGGCCCAGGCCACCAGCCCGCTCTTCGAGCACCTGTGACAGCAGGACAGGGATACTCCCGCGTCCTTTCCAGGCCCTGCATTGGCCAAGTCCAGGGACAAGAGGTGCCTATGGCTGTGGGGTCTCCAATAGCCAAGGACGTCTGCTGGCGTCCAACACCCACAGGCCAACCTGTGCCAGGACGGAGGGCAGGCCTTCTGGGGTGGGGGAGGGGGCGTGTGTGTGCAAACTGCTGCTCCCTCCTGCCCCCTCAAGGTCAAGCAATGGGCTACATGGTCTGGCCCATGGCAGGGCCCTCCTCGGGGGACGTGACAGCCCACGAAGTCCAGGCTGCCTACTTTGGTGGGAAGGGCACCTAGGTCTTTTTCTCACTTGCCTGCAACCTTAGACAGGTGACCCCCCTGCCCTGGGCCTCAGTCTGTTTGCCTGTGCAATGGGCCCATTGGACCAGGTGATGCAAAAGGCCCTTCTCCAGCCACAGACTGACCATAACCTTGCTTTCCCCCTGCAGGTACTCAACCCCAAAGCAAGAAACAGCATCTCTTCCAGAGGAAGACTAGCCGAGCAGCTACCGTGAACAGGCAACTGTCCTTAGACTGAGGCCCAGAGCATCTCCAGTCTCCGTGTGTCAGAGGAGGGGGCAGGCACGGAGAGCCGGCACAACCTTCCTTCCTGCCCTCCCTTTGAGGCTTTGGCCCCGGCACCCCTGGTCGGCCATCGCTGCAGTGGGAGGAAGTCAGGAGCCACTGAAATGGGCAGCAGCCAGCAGGCCTGATGCCCTCTGTGAATGGGCTGCAGGGGGCTGAGCCAGACCTGCTCCTGGCTCCCCAGGCCCCCTGCCTGGGTGGTCCCACCACCGGCTCCCCATGCCTCCCCGCTGCAGCTCAGACCCACACACGACATGACCGTGCCTCGTCCCTGTAGGGACATCCACCCAACACTCCTCAACAGCAGCAAGCCTTTAATATCCTTGCAAGGCATGAAACAGCCCCTCTAGCCTGCACGCCAGCACCTGCAAGGACATGCACATCCCGAGGCGGTGGGCAGAGCTCATGTCCTCCCAGTCAAGCAGTTACTGAAGGCCAGCACTGGTGGTTCCGCCAGCACAGTCCTCCCGGCCCCAGAAGCTAAGGGCACAGGGGGCACGGGAGCCTGGGCGGGCCTGGGGTGGGGCGTTACCTTCAGGGCGAGCCTTGGGGGTCTTGAGTCCTCCGTCCAGCATCAGCTCAAAGGCAAACGCCACGTTGTGGACCTGCCAAGGAAGCAAGAGTGGAACCGGTACATCCCCAGGACCCGAGCGGTCCCTCGCAGGGCACAGGGTAAGCAAGGGTGTTGGGCGAAGGCGTTCCCTCAATGGGCCTTATCCCCTCACCCGGGATGGGGCGGCAGCTCAGAGATGCAGGGGTGAAGGCACAAAGCTTGCCCTCGAGGGCTCCAGGGTCCCCGAGTATCTGCTTGTGCCACAGACCACGCAATGAGAAGTGACCGTGACTCTTTCCCTTTTACAGATGAGAAAGCCAAGGCTCAGAGGGGACATGTCACTTCCCAGAGGCACCCACGCTAAAGCACTGTCCCCGGCACGGAGCAGCCACCCACCGTGTCCTGGGAAGGCCTCCCAGAGCCACGTGTGCACAGCCGCAGGCAGGACACTGTGCTCAGGGGCAGCAGTGGCCCAGGCGCCGGGCAGGCACCGGGGACCCTGCTGGAACGGAAGTCAGCCCAATGGCGGCTGCAGGTGGCAGGGGGCAGGGCCCCGTTCCTGGCCTCCTCGACTTGCTAGATGTCACAGGAAAGTGGACACCCCACCCCCACACCCCACACGGCTTCTCCCTGAAAGGTACTGCTCGGCCCACGAGGGTGCTGGAAGCTTGCATTCTGCTCACAGCCTCTGAAGGGCTTTAAAATAACACCTTCCCCGAGGCAGTTTCTGCCTGACCCCCAGAGATGCCGGTTGACAACCAAACCACAGCCCGCCGTCCGCTGGGGCAAAGGCTGCTGGGGACAGGATGGGGGCACCAGAAAATGAAGTAAATCCTAGAGTCAGAGCTGCAGAGCACCCCGGGGTTCCTAGTAATCACACATCCTTCCAACAGTAATACCTGCACGATTTCGGGGTAAGTGAACCAGAAACAGGATCATTGTACTTATCGTTTAATAATTAACCAGGAAGACCATGTTTGACAAAATAACCCGCTGTTGGTCAACATCCCAGCAGCTCGGGGGCCACCTCGCCGCCTCTAGGACCCTTAGCACCAGCACGGGGCAGGCAGCGACCAGAGGTCCCCGTGGGGGGACAGGCCCTTCACTCCGGGGCTGGGCGGGGCTACCCCTGACCAGATGCAGGGGGCTGGAGGACCCTGGGCCATTCCTGAGGCCCCCTGGAAAAGGCCAAATGGGAAGGCCAAGCTGCGTGTTAGACGTCTAGGTGCACGGAGTGGGCCCAGCCCAGAGGGAAAGCCGTGGGGAGCACCAAGGCCGCTTTTTGAAGGAGGCCCCGGGGCTGAGATAAGTTAGGACAGGGAGAGACGGGCCCTGGAAAGTGCTGGGTCCTCGAAAGTGCTCAGTGCTGACCAGGTCGGGCTTCTGAAACCCCACACCTGCCCCACGCCGAGAACAGCTCCCACCCAGAGCCACCTCCCCGCAGCAACTTTCCTTCTGCTTCCTTCTTAGTCCGAGGAAACCACCAGACAAGAAGTCACCGGCACCCTGCTCCCATCCCCGCCATGCCCTCACCTCCACCAACCCCTCCTGCCTGCAGAGAAGCCGCCCCTGCGCCCAGGGTCCCGGGACAGGGCAGGCAGAGTGGCAAACAGCTCCCCAGACCTGAGGGGACCAAGCCACACACTGTACCCCAAAGCCCCATTGCCACCACTGGGAGCCAGCCCCACGGCCAGGACGCGCTCAAATCCTTTCCCTCTGCAATTCAAGGGATTTTGGAAAACCTGGCCAGGTGACAGAGGAATAGAACTTTCTAGAATAGGAGTGGGCTCTTCCAGCTCTGCCCTGCTGAATGAGGGAACTTGGCCGTCTCTCAGCCCCTCTGAGATCCCGTTTCCTTGTCCCCAGGAAGGGAATCAGATGAGGGGACAGAAGGCAAAGCACCTTGAGAACATGAAGCCCTTTCGAGCATTTGCTGATAAGAACCATCTCTGAGTCTCCAGGACACACTCCACTCCCCAGAAAGAGGGATGCTGTGGAATCTTCCAGAAAGATGATCTAAAGGCACAAGGTACTCAGCAAAGTGGCTCCCACCAGTAAGATAATAAAACAAAACGCTAGGGGTCGTACCCATATCTCAGAGGGTATCTGATATCTCACCCATATCTCAGAAAGCTCAGAGGGTGCCGTCTGTCTGTCTGCAGGAACCTAGGGGGTCTGGTCTCGTTTTTTAAAATCTAGTGCAATTGTTTTAAAAACACAGGTCATCGCTCTGCTTGGGGACAGCAGCACCTTGCCTCGGGCAGAGGCACAGACAGACAGACGGTCACGGGCCTCTCATGCTCCCCAGGCCAAGGAGGCACCCCCCCAAAACTTTCACCCCTGCTGCAAAGGGAGTAAGGCCGGGGCCGGAGAGAAGGCCCCCCTGCCTGCTTGTGCACAGTCTCCTCTTGGAAAGAAACCCAGTTCCGGCCCCTTGGCTCCATTCACCATTCCTGCCGGCAGCATTATTAATCGGAACAAAGGAAATCTCTCTCCCAAACAATGCTTCTGCAGCCAGCCCCGAAGGGCCTGGAAACACAAGAGCCTCTTCCCCGCATTATCTGTGTTCTCGTGCTCCGCTCGCTCCCCTCCGGCTCACGCTCCATTCACCCTGACTCGACCATGCCAGGCCCTCTCTAATCTGTTCTGATTCCATCTCAGCAGGTGAGGCAGGAGCAACATTTGGCCGCGAGCGGACGGCCTGAAAGGTGCCAGAAGTATGCAGATTGATAAACACCGGCCCCATCGCTGGACGCTTCCCTGGCTGCCACCACCTGCTCGCATTGTCCGCTGCTCTGACTCACGGGTCTAGCACTTTGGGGAAATCCCACGACAGATGCCCCGAGTCCAAAGCAATATGGACAGTGCATGAGCCAAGTTTCTGAAGGCCACACGCCGACTGCTGCTGTCTGGACGGGCTGAACTCCGGGGAGCCCCGAGCAGCAGGCAAGACACGGGCACAGACAGGGACATGGGGGAGGCAGCAACCCGGATCCAAAGCTGAGGCCCTTTGATCCACACAATCCCATGTGGGGAATTCTCCTAGAAGACAATCCACAGGAAGGGAGACAGATACAGACAGAGAGACGGACTGATCGGAAAAGAGAAAGACTGGAGAAGATGCCCAATTAGTTTATTGTGAAAACAACCAGAAACAAGTTAATTGTCCAAGGGTGGGGGAACAGGGAGACAGGGGTGTCGGAGCCACGGGACTCTTGGCCACCACTGAGAACAGCAGTGCTTGGGGAGGGCAGAAGCAGGTGGGAAAACCAGAAGTGACATGGGTACGGCATCAACGGGGGAGGGCTCTACAAGTCTGTGGCAGTGGGCCCCCGGGATTAAAAAGGGTACCGTCCCAGGGGAAAGACCCCCACCCGAGGAAGACTGGGCACACAGCACCCGGGAGCGTCTGGCACTACTGATGGGCTTACTTCTGTGACTGAGGGTTGGGTCATGTCTCACGGCAGTACCATCTGGCAGCAGTCCTATTTTTCCAAAAACTCTAGCTAGACTCCAGGAAGAGCCATCAGGGGCCCGTCTAGGCTACGCGCTTTAGCGAGCGCGTCTGGGGCCGCGCTGGGGACGGAGACCACACACGTACCTTCTGGTCGAAGCTGTCCGGCGTCAGGTAGAAGTTGTGCAGGGGGACGAAGTAGTCCTCCAGAAGGCCCATGAGCAGAACCAGGTAGACGCCATCTGCAAACTACAGAGAAACGCGGGGTGAGGTGTCGGGGCTGCACAGGGAGGCAGGGAACATTCTGCGTTCTCTCCCAAAGAAGGAAAATGTTTTAAAGCAAGAAATCCATGCCTTGTTGAGCCACGAGCCTGCGATCAGGTGAAGGACCTGAGAGCAGAGCATCTCGCTCAGGGCTGGACGTGGGCACGCACCTGTTTGGGGTCGGAGCATGTCCACATGGACGGGGCCATGGCTCTAGAAGCCGGCAGCCTGGCCACAAGGCCCAGCCCCCCACTACCGATCTTGGGATAACACCGGCTCCAATCTCTCGGGGTTAGCATGGGGACACAGTGAGGAGGCAGACAGGGAGGGCCCAGCACACGGGGAGCGTCCCCATCAGTGTCGGCTGCTGGGACGACCCGTCCGTCCACGACCTGCAGGGTGCCCTAGGCTCTGGTCTGGGGTCTGCTGCCCTGTTCCCCCTGCTCCCTTTGTCAGCTGCCCGAGCACATTCTTCCAGCTGTGCTCACGGTGCCAGACGACACTTTCCCCTGCTTGAGCCCCGGTGACCATGAGCCTTTGAGGTCCATCAAGAGGAGCTTCTAGTGTCCATCCCAGCCAGGCCCTGAACACCAGGCGGCGCTGGGTCAGGGAAAGGGCTGCAGGCTGCTGCCCTCAACCCAGGTCCCCCAACCCCCACCCACGGTACCCATCCACCCACATGAGGGGACCAGGAATCTAGAACAAAAGCCCCAACTCTCTGGAAGACTGCTCTCCCCAACCCCCAGTTAGCCAGGGAGCAATTACTCCTTTTAAAGATAAAGCAATGGGGGTGCCTGGGTGACTCAGTGGGTTAAAGCCTCTGCCTTCGGCTCAGGTCATGATCTCAGGATCCTGGGATGGAGCCCCGCATCGGGCTCTGTGCTCGGCAGGGAGCCTGCTTCCTCCTCTCTCTGCCTGCCTCTCTGCCTGCTTGTGATCTGTCAAATAAATAAATAAAATCTTTAAAAAAAAAAAAAAAGATAAAGCAATGGAGACCGGTGAGGACAAAACCAAATTTGCCCGAGGGGACAAGAGAACCGAGGTACAGAAGGCACCCAGAGGGCGGGTCTCAGCCATCCCCACAGAGCACAGAGGGGGCATCTCTGAGGGGCCGAGACTTGCTGAGGTCCGCTGCCTGGCCAGAACCTGTGAGGACCCCAGCCTCCAGATGTCTGAGACTGTGTAGTCCCACATGACTGCCATTGGCCACACGTGCCTATTGAAATCAGACATTTTTTTTGTTTGAATGTTGCTGGTTTACTCTCTGCCGCTGCGGTAAAACATACGGAACATGAAATCTACCATCTTAACCACATTTAAGTATCCAGGTCGCTGGCGTGAAGTCCATTCATACCATGTGCAACCAACCAGCCAGTCAGCCGTTCTAGAACGCACGTCATTTTGCAAAACTGAAACTCCTTATCCTTTTCTGTCTGGCGTATGTGGGGTATTTTTGTTTTTTTTTGAGTCGTGATAAAACATACCTAGAATGTACCATATTAACCATTTTTTAAAAAAGATTGTATTTATTTATTTGTGAGAGAGAGTCAGCACAAACAGGCAGAGAGGCAGGCAGAGGCAGAGAGAGAAGCAGGCTCCCCGCTGAGCAGGGAGTCCGATGCGGGGCTCGATCCTAGGACCCTGGGATCATGACCTGAGCCAAAGGCAGACGCTTAACCAACTGAGCCACCCAGGCGCCCCCACATTAACCATTTCTAAGTGTACAGTTCAGCCTTGTTGAGTACATTCATGCTATTACGTAACCAAGTTCCAAGATGTTTAAACTGAAAAGATGTTTAACAAAAATACAAAATTCCGTTCCTCAGTCACACCACCAACATTTCAGATGCCCAGCGGCTACACATGGCCAGTGGCTCCTGCCCCCGATGCGTGGTGACAGAACTCCTCCATCCCTATGAGGAAGCTCTCTTGGCCGGCGTGGTCCCCTGGTCTGGAAGACTGCCACACGGGACGGCGGGATGGCAGGACGGCCACGAGGGGCTGGGCACCCAGGACCCTTCAGCTCCCCGAGACTAGCAACGTGCAGCGGATAAAATGAGCCAAAGGAGGACTTTATTAAAAACAGCAGCTCCCCCCATTGTTCTAGGCCGGCCATCAAGGCCTCCAATTTAAAGAAGAAAAGTCGAAATCACAAGTGTCCGCTATCACCAGGTAGAAAGGGGAAGGAGAGGGAAGAACAAAGACCAAGGCAGAGGGACACCCTCCTTGCGGGGCTTGCCAAGGATGGCTCTCTGGTAGACGGTGCTGGTGGGACTGCCCCGCCGACACTGAGCCAACAGCAGGCCCGGAGAAACCGGCTCTCTCAGCAACACGAACCCCATTTCCAGGCCGTCTGCAAACGACGATACTGCCCCCATCACCTGCCCGGGAGGCGCAGGGAGCCGAGATGGGTGGAAAGCCTCTGCTCCCTTCCATGGCTTCCCGAACCCAGACCTGGCCCCCTCGTGCACGGCAGTGGGAGAGATGGAGGTTGCAGGGGAATGCACGGGAGGGAGAGGGGCACCAGGGAGAGTGAGAGCCAGGCAGAGCACCGCGGCTTATCAGCCAATGGACCCTCTAGCTCACACTCATGAGAGCACACATTTGTCCTGAAGTGGGGGCGTGCCCTAGCTGCGATCCCCCCAGATGCCCCACAACTCCCACGGCACTGTCTTCATCAATACCCAGCTCGTAAGGGCATGACCGCCATTAAGCCTCCCCATATCTGCTGCCCCCTCAACATAAGAGAAGCACAGAGAAGTTGAGTAACTGGCTCAGTGTCACACAGCCAGGAAGCTGCCCAGAATACAGAAGTGGTTTTAAATACACACACACACACACACACACACACACACACACACACACACACACCCCCGAGCAGGGCTTTGAGCCCACGTCTCCCTGACGATGAACATTATTTATAAAAATACCTCCTTTCTGCCAGACAGTGGTTAAAAACCCCTTTAAGTGTGATGAGAGAGAAAAAAGGAGACACTGGGTACCTCCAGATCCACTCAAACCGAGGGGCAGAGTCTCGGTCTGGGGCTTCTGGCCACTCCTGCTGGCGTGCAGGCCGGCGGGAAGTGAGAATGGGGAATGGCTTGCAGGGCTCAGGTCATGGGGGCGGGCAAGCCTTCCCGGGCCCTCAAAGCATCACGGCCTTCTAGGAGTGCATCCTGATGAAGCGAGGGCACCAGCAGCAGAAGCTGAGGGCAGAGAGCCCCTGCACCCCCCGTCGTGAGGGCGGGGGCACCCCATCACGAGGAGTGGGCTTCATGCCATGAGGTGCGTTAGAATGGAAGAGGAGGCAGTCCTCAGAGGTGACCAGTGCAGATAGACAGACCAACCGACCGGACAAGGGAAGAAGGACCAGATGGAATCACGCACACAGACTCCACCAGAAAGACCCCGGCATACAAGTGTCACAGAGGACACGCTGCGAGAAGAGCTGTGCAGCAGAAGCCACCGTCGTTAACAAAATACACATGTGTGTAAAACGTCTGGAAGACTCCACATGAACTGCAGTCGGGTAGGTCGGGACAGGATGAAGGGGGGAGGCGGCGGGGAGGGAGAAAGGAGGCCTGCGAGGACACCTGTGGACCCTGATACACCTAACGGCAAGTAACCAGAGGCTAAGTGGGCAGTGTTCAGAAAACGTCACAAACGACGCACAAACACACACACTCGTACAAACAGCTTGTTTGGCTTTCCAGGACAGACCCATGAGGTCCGTGGTTAGCCAGCCAGGTGGAAGAAAGGTCCGGAACAAAGCGCTCAGCACAGTTATCTCTGGGTGCTGGGATTAAGAACGATTTTTGTTTCGCTTATCTGCATTTTCAGACATTCTACAATGAACCTGAATTACTTTTTTAATTAGAAAAGCAAATGAGGAGAGGCAAAGAGAGAGACAGGAGCGGAGGCAATCACCCAGGGATTTCAGCAGGATCAGCTGGGGGGTGAGAGGAATCTGCACCAAGAACGCGAACGGCTCCGAATTCGAGCACCCAGCTAATCCCGGGAAAATTATATTTTGTCTTTGATGCCTGCTGATTGCCTGAAGCGGATTTTCACTCTGCGGCGTGAGCTCTGCGTGGGGCGCGGGAGGACACTTCACACGCCGCCCACGGAAGAAATATTTCATGCACACTCACTGGACAGGTACTCCACGAGCACTCGCGCAGCGTGCATGGCGATGGGGAACAGAAGCGGGGAGGGGGGCGCGGAACATTCTAGACTGGAAGAACTGCCCATGCCAAGGCCCTTCAGTGGGGGAGGTGTGACGCCTCCGAGGGTGTCAGGGTTGAGCTGTGTCCCCTAAAAAATGTGCTGGAGTCCTAACCTCGGAACCTGTGAATGTGACCTTCTCTGGAAGAAGTCACTCCTGAAGGCCTCCGAAGGAAGCAGCCCGGCCCACGTGGGTCTGGGACTCCAGCCTCCAGGACCGTGAGGATGGAAATGTCTGTGGTTCAAGCTGCTTGGTCTGTGGGACTCGATTCCAGCAGCCACATGAAACTTTGACAGAGGGCCCGAGAGAAGGCCAGAGCGGCTGGGCCTCGCCGTTCCGACTGTAGGGTGGCCACTCCTTGTCGGACCAACAAGACGGCGCCTGTCCCCTTTGTGCCCCACGCGGGATCGGAGAGCTGGCTGAAAACACAAACCCCAGAACACTGCTCACCTGGGTCTCCAGTTCCGTCACCTCCAAGTTCAGCTTGTTCAAGTGCTTGTTCACAAACGTGATGAGAGACTGTGAAGGCAAAGACATGGGAGCCGTGAGTGAGAGAGGCCACTTGTCTGCTCCCATCCAACGGGATGGACCTGACCTTGGCCATCACCAACTTGGGAGATGCTCCCATCATCTCCAATGTTTGCTAAAATAAAAGGGTCAGGTTCTCGCAGCGACCCTTGGTTTTAATGGAAAAATGCCTCCATGTACTATCCCCGCTGGAGAAGAAAACACACCTCTCTGTCCGCCAGCCTGGGCGTACACTCGCTTATCCACACACCTGTAAGTATTTAAGAGCCCTAGAGGGGCCAATCAACTCCTCAAGAAGGATGAAACCGTCAGGGGGAGAGGACTGTGGTTTTAGATGCATCCTAGATGTGACCTGAAATGACAGAAGGCTGACCCGAGGGGCCACATGCACCTGCTTCGGTAACCTTGGGTAAGCTTGAGCTTAGGGGAACAGACCGCCAGCTTCTCTCTAGCCAAAGTTTAAAACTTGTCCCTTGTAACTCTTCTCCACCAGCAAACCCAGCTTCAGTGGGACACAACACCAGCCACACCCCACCCCGCCCCTGGATACGATGGCCTTTCCTTAGTCATGCTACTCAAGTTTATTGAGCAGCTACTACATGCCAGGCACTCTGCTTGGTGCTGGGGACACGAAGATGGCAAGACAGGGTCCCCCCTGGAGAACCTGTGGCACAGTTCTCCATATACGCGCCTGGTGGGGGACACAGAGCAATCAAGGGCTAGAGCCCAGTGTGTGAGACATGCCACGGAGGAGAGGCCACGGCATCGCAGGATGCCAAGGAAGTGAGCATCTGAGTGGGTGTGGGGCGGGGGCAGGCCAAGCAGGGACCCCGGGCCCATGCACATGCGCAAACGCTTTGGGATCTTCAGACTGCCGCTGGACGTGGATGGGATGGGAGGATGCAGGAGGGGGCGAACCCGGAGAGGTGGACAGGGATCCCCGGCTTTTCGCTGGGGCACAAGGAGCCATCAACACGGCAACTGTCCTGTGGGGGTGTGGGAGGGTGGGGCTGGAAGCAGGAAGCTGTCGGCAGATGGAAGGATTTTGTCTCATTCGTCCCCAGTGCCCAAAACGCATCTTTTCAATGAATTAACATTGTACCTACGGACAAACAGACCTCGTGCCATGCTCAACGCTACCCAGCATACTGTGCACTGGGCCTTTGCACAGACATGATGACACTTTACTCACAGCACCCCTGAGAGGTGGGTCCCGCCTCAGTCCTGACAGGTGGGGAAATTGAGGCAGGCGTTATCATCTGCCTCGGGTCATACAGTTGATAGGCAGGGGAGGGGCCAGATTTGAATCTTCTTGTGCATGAGTTCCTGGGACCCAGATGTGACGGGGGGTAGGGGTTAGGGACACTGCTTGGAGCCCCAAGGCGCGTCAGTCATCACCCAGGGATGCTAAGAGGGCTCCACCCAGGGGGCACTGCCAGCCTTTTGCAATGTGCTTCCAATGACTAAAAGACTCTCATGGTCCCAGGCTGCAGCGGCCTTTTCCAAAAGTGGGTTCCGCAGGGATTTAATACCTTCTATCACAAGATAAACGAACAGACCTCACCATCGACAATAAGCTTGGAAAATGCTCCTACTGAGTCCCATCTTGGAGAATTCCAACCCATGCCAGCGTATTAAAGGTCCTGAGAAGTCCTGCATTAAGAAACCTGTTGCGGGCAGTTGTGCTAGACAAAGAGCTCTCTCCCCTAGGGCACACGGGCAGAAATGACCGCCCCTTGGATGCTACAGGGAGGTGGAAAGGACACCCATCCTCCCGCTGCCTCCCCACGTGAGACGTCTGCAGGTGCTCAGATAACTCCACGGGCCGAGAGCCGAGTCTCAATTCCTTCTGGGTGAGAACAGGCCCTCCCCGCAGACCCCCTGGAAGCTCATCACTACCCAGCCCCTGATTCCACAGCCTCAGCTCACATGGTTTTTTTTGTTGTTGTTTTTTCCATCCGTAGCCTACACGCAGGCTGCCTGGGCTGATGAAGTGCCTGTCCTTGGCACTCCTGTTTGGAGGGAAATGGGCCAAACACGAGCTCCGAGCAGCTCAGCCGGCAAGGGCCTGCCTGTGTCCCGGGCAGGCTGTGAATACAGCCTCGTGGTAATGAGGCCCGCTCGAGCCAGCAGGCTGACACACTTGAAAACATTTCCACATTGAGAAAAAGCCTCGAGTCGGAATGAAGGACCACGCGGGCGCTGGCTGGCTAATTCACTCAACAGAAGCGGGCGGGTGGGCAGGGAGACACCCAGGGAGCAGAGATGTTGAGTTAAAAGGCGCTAATTTTATGCACTGTAGTTACGTTTTTGACTATAATTACACTTCAATCCATGTGGCAAACGTTTCAGAGATTTCAAACATGTTCCCACCTTCTTCCCGGCACGGAGCTTACCTTCTTCACCACGCTGAGCTTGTCCGGGGCGTGGTCAAAGAGGGTGTCGAAGGCGTCCCGCTCTGCGTGGGCAAGTGGAGAGGCACAGGCAGGGTTGATGGAAACGTCCCGGCCCGTCCTGGGGATCAGGCAGCTCCTGACACCCCGGGATGTCCCACCCCTACGCTCCCCGCCAGCCCAGAATCCACTTCGTTCCCACCAGAACCCAGGGGCAGGTGCACTTGGGAGCAAAATCAGGGTAAAAATGCTTTTACGTCCACCCCGCCCTCAGTTTCTATCTTGTAACGTGAAATTCACGGGTAGCACTGGAACATCCGCCCCCATGACATCCTTGACATGAGGCGTCCCTTGCCCGCCTCTCTCCTGCCAAACGCTCCTTGCAGTGCGTACCAGTAAATCTCGCTGCTACCTCTGAGCACATCTCCCGATCGGCACAGCTGCCAGCCCCACACCAGCCCCAGGCCCTCACCTGGTGGCAGCTGTACCCTCCTGCCTTAGCCGGCTTCCCTCCTCCACTCCCAGCCCTCCGATCCCTTCTCCCAAGAGGAACAGAGTACACTGGATCGTTTCTTGCCCCTCCCCATCCCTGCCCCCACCAAAACTCTCCAACAGCTTCTTATCACTCTAGGATAAAATTCATTTGCCCTCCCGTGGCCCACGAGATCCAGCAGTCAGTCACCCCCTAACACACACACCCTCCCTGAGTTCATGCCACCAACCGGCTTCCTGGCTTCTCCTCATCACATACCTACCACAGGGCCTTTGCACGGGCAATCTACCTGTCACTTCCTTCAGCTTGCTCTCAGATGTCACCACCTCTGAAGGGCCTTCCATGACCATCCACACCTAGAAGAGTGCCCCACGCCCGCTCCCTGTCCTCTGACCCCTAGTATGCATCTCAATGCCCTTAGTCACTGCTTGAGAGTACATCTTATTATCATGGGTCTGCTGGAGAGTCACTGAGGGCCTCTCAGCTCCGTGCTGGCTGAAACCACTGTCTTGCTTGTTCACGCCATTGCCTCAGGACAAATGAACAAACAGGAGACCCTGCTCCAGACTCTCTCTCTCCAGCAATTCTTCTGGGGGTGTCCCCCTCTGTGGGAGCACTGGCAGGGCCTGAGGCGGCCTGTTCCATCATGTCCCACCCATCCTCCTTCTTCCAGGTGAGCCCCGACCTGCCCTGCCACTCAAGGGCCCAGCCGTGTGCTCCAAATCAACGCAGAACCAATCCCTTCCCTTTCCAACGGGAGGCACTGGAGGCCAGGTCAAGACGGCTCTCAGCGGGTGAGCAGCAGCCAGTGGGTGCCTGGTTCTAGCCTGTGTTGCTGGCGGGGGAGGGGACCGGGAGGCAGGAAGAGCCCCCTGCAGCCCCCTGCAGCTCGGAGTCCAGGCAGGAAGACTGAGGCCTCAGAGTGGATGCAGGGCTGTGTAGAGTCACCGGTGGGGCAGAGAGGGAAAGGGAGGAGGGCATCTGGCAGGCCCTGGAGCCCCGACTTCCGTCTTCCAGGAGCCAGCTGTCCCCCCAAGGTGCCCGGGGCAACACAGGACCTCAGCCAGCAGAGAGGCCCACTATTACTAGCAGGGGCTTGAGAATGGAGGGCTGGGGGCTGGGGAGCCCGGCCAGAGGGGGTGCGGCGGGGGTAAGAAATCTCCACCGCGTCTCTGGGGACGGCTGGGAGCCCAGAACCAGAGCTGACCCAGGGCTTGCTTCAGCCTGGCCTGCCCATGGAGGAGGAGGGAGGCAGAAGCCAGAGAGAAGACAGGCTGGTACCCAAGTAAGCCGCAGAACCAGGTGTCCTGGAGGAAGCGTCCCAGCCCTTCCCTGCAGCCCGGCCCCAAAAGGAAGGCGCTCGGTGTCCAAGGTCTAGGGCATGGGGACGCAACTCACGGCCCCAGCCCAGGTAGCATCCTCCTTGGCCTGGGGGGTGGGGAGAGGGAAGGTGGGAGGTAAAGAGGAAGGGAGAGGTGGAAGGGGGCTGTGTGTGTGCAAGCATGTGTGGCGTGTATTTGCACACCCATGTTGGCAGCATGTGCATGCACGTGCGTGTGCGTGGGGTGTGTGCAGCGTGCACACACGCACGAGGGCACGCATGTGTGTGTGTGTGGTATGTGTATGGCACGTACGCACCCATGCATGGGGGGTGCGAGCATTCACGGGGGAGGACCCCCAGCTTCCTCCACCTGAAACCCAACAGCAACCGAAAGGCCCGACCATGCAGAGCGGCCCCTCCTCCAGTCCTCTACCCAGGCAGCTGTAAATTATTTTTATAATCACTGAAGTCAGATGAGACTCAATACGACAGTCTGCAAAGGCGGGGGGGAGCTAAATCTTTACAAAGCAAAACACAAACTTTAAATGCAGCTTGAGAAAAACTCTCGGAGCAGGAGAGAGCTTGACGTCAGCCGGGTATATTTAGCTGGGCCACCGCTGGGCTCAGAGCGAAGGCGTGCAGGGGAGCCGCGGGAGGGAGCGGAGGCCCGCTGCCCCTGTGCAGCCCTCACCTGCTGTCTGCCGGGCCTCGGGAATGAAAACAAGTCCCGGGACTTTAGGCCACTCACCTCCTTCCCTAACCCCGTTTCCTCCTCCATGAAGTGGGAGTAAAAATAGTCCCCAGCTCACGGTTGGTGTTAGAACATAACACACAGGACATCGAGGGACAAGCCCCCTGCCTGGCAGGCGGGTCGCTGAGGCTCGGGCTCAGTTCATTCGATGCCCTCTCTGAGCCCGCCCCTCCCTACGGTCCCTCGGGAAGCTCTGGCGACAGTCACGGGGACAAAAAGGGAGGGACAAGGGCCGGGTGGAGGCAGATGGGTAAACTGAGGTAGCCAGAGAGGGCTCAGAAAGGGGCCAAATCAGCCGGGACGGGTCGGCGTCTGGCCCAGCACAACCCTCACGGGTGTGACCGTCAGTCCAAATAAAGTTGTTTTGTTTGTTTAACCTTTTTAAAATATAAATAGGAATTTCTGGCTCGTCTGCAGGAACTGGAAGTGTGGCAACACGGAACCCGCCTCCCGCCCGCCCAGCGTGAGCGCGCCACCCACGGACGTGGGGTCCAGGCGCCCCCGTCTGCCCCGCCGCCGCCCCGTGCGGAGGCCAAGGGGCAGACGACCACACGATGTTCCAGCCACTTCCCCGTTCCTGTGAGCGGCCTGGTCCACGGAAGCACCAAGTCTGGGGCCCACGGACAAAGGGACAGGGGACCGAGGGGGCGTCACATGGGAGCCTCCAGCCGAGCCAGGGTTTCCTGGGACAAGAAAGGGAGGAAGGGCGTTCCAGACAGAGGGAACAGAAAGTGCAAAGAGAAGCAAAGGAAAGCCGGGGAGGGTTGCAGATCATGTGGCCTGAGGGAGGCTCAGAGCAGGTCCCACAGGGCAAGGAGTCCCCCAAGGTGGCAGCTGGAGGTGGCACAGCTGGCCCAGTCAGGCTGCAGTGGGGGCACAAGCTCTGTTGGCAGAAAGGGGAGACCCGAGGAGGAGAGGGGGAGCGGAGGAGGAGAGCTTCTCCCCGCTTCTCCCCTGTCCCAAAGCCCAGGGCGGGGGAGGGGCCGTCTGCGGGGGAGATGCAGCCAGCAAGCCCGTTGCCATGGAGACCAGGCAGCAGCTCCCAGCTCCTCTGGGGAGTCGGGCCTCCCAGCCCACCTCAGCCAGGACAGGGATGACTCAGGGAAGGGGCGGGCCTCTGTGTGGGGGGCAGGGCAACCCCTCCATCCCAAGCTTACAGCGCTCAGGTGAGAAAAGAGCACAGAACAGGACCCGTTGTGAAACCCAGTGGGCAGACATAGCCAAGGAGGGTCCCCCTGGTGTTCTGGAAGCTCCTGGATGTCTGCAGCCCGGGGCTGGCTCCAGGGGATGCACGCCAAGGAAGACACAGCTCCAGCCCACAGGACACTTACAGTTCAAAGAGCCACGGGGGAAGGGGCACACGGAGGGGCCGAGGGTCCCCAGGCCATCCCGGCACCCCGAGTCTGCCAGGCGGTGGCAGCTCCCTGTGAGCACCAGCGGGAACGGAGTAAAGAGACAGGCTGGGCGGGGCAGGGCAGACAGGGCGGGCCTCCTGGGAAGAGCTGAGGAGTGGGGCGGGGGGGGGGGGGGCGCGCAAGCCCAGAGGGAGAGCATTCCGAGCAGAGGGCACTCAAAGTGGGTGAGCTGGAGGGGCCCCCCGGGGTGCTCTCGGAGGAACAGGGGAGCTACAGGCGGAGGACACGAGGGCGGAGTGAGGAGGCCAGAGAGGAGGCGAAAGGCATGCGAAGGGGGGGTGGTCTGGAGGGCTCGGAGGCCACCTCAAGGGCCATGGCTTTGCCTTAAGCCAAGGTGGAGGGTAAGGAGCAGAGTGAGGGATAAAGGGGTGTCTTAGAGCACCTGACCCCCAAATCAAAGGGCGAGCCTGGGACCAGGACCCGGGGGGAGGGAAGGAGACCCAACCTCGGTGGGAAGGGGGCTGCAGGGGCCCCGGAGGGCCCCACGGGAGAAGGGCCGGCGGAGGCTGCCAGTCTGGGTACCCGGGGGCCCGGCCCTTGCGCCAGCAGAAGCAGAAGCCAGTGTGGCGCTCACGGCTGTCACCCGCTGACGGCCTGCTCGCGTTTCGTAAGCAGGGCGAGCCTCTCAAGTAGTCACCCCACCAGCGTCTCGCGGTTCCACGGCCCCGAAGGCTCAAACGCCGCACGGCAGCTGAGTGCACTTCTCATACTGCGACACCCGGCTGCTTCCCAGCGCGTCGTCACCCTGTGCCCAGAAGCTACCGCGCTGTCCGCCCCCCGGCCACGGCACACAGCCCCCCGCGGCACGGATGCTCCCCGGGTCCCCCGAACCTCCAACCAGGCCTGTGCCCAACAGGGATGGGACATGGCTCAGAACATCAAAGACCCTCGATGCTCTGACGGCCCTACTCAGACCCAGGGCCTGACCCCTGTCCCCTCCAGGAGCCCACACCGGCCCCGTGGCCTGCACTCCCCACTGCCACGCGACACCCCCAACTGGACATGGGACGGTTCCCTTTTCCTCCCTTTCATTAAAATGACGAAGACACGTAAAAAAGACTTAATCACTGCTCAAAAATCATGAAGACCGTGAACTTTCCCAGCGCAGCATTAGGCTTACTTCAGGAAGTCTGAGGACATCAACAGGGACCCACGTCCCCTCTTCGCACACAAGCCACAGGGGTGTGCCATGGGCCCCTATGATACCCGTGAGGGGATGGGGCCCTGTGGTCAGACCCGTGGCTGACTCCAGGGTGGCAGACCTCTCCCCGGGGACCCCACAACTACAGGATGAACTCCAGCCAGGCGGGCTCGAAGGGCACGTGGGAAAACGTGTACTTGGCTTCCACTTCTGCTAACAGCCGTGCTCCCTGCAGAACGTGGCATTTGGGGGTCAAGAGCTTTCTGTTTCAAAATAGTCTCCAAAGCAATGAGCTTCACTCACATGGCCTCTGGCTACGGCACAGACTCCCCACCCTGGAGGGTTTAAACGCTTAAACGCAGTCCCAAGCTGTCCTGCCATCTGCCACCCCTTGCGGAGAGGAAGATAGGGTCATGCTGCTTGCCACGGGGTTGGGAACAGCTCTCTGGGAACTAACGGGAGTAACCACCTCGTCACCCCCCACCAGGCTTTTCTTATCCCCCCACTGCCTGCAGCAGCTCGGAGAAGCAGACAGACCCCAGGGGGAGCTACAGGAGACCCCATGGGGTCCTGTGGGCCCTGCACCCTGGGTGACAGCGCGTATCCACGCATCTGGGAACTTCTTGCCACAGCCTGCAAGGGCCCGTGACCTTGGACCCGCCAGCCCTACAGGTACTTACCGAAGCGACCCATCATCATCCTGCAAATAAGAACAGAGGAAGAGAGCCGTCAGTGGGTGCTCAGAACACAGTGCAGTGAGGTCACGATGGAGGGAACCCCAAAGTTGGAGCCCTAAATTGTCCTGCTGAAAGGCTCTTTATAAAAATGTAAATCCTGTCTTAACAGATTCTCTGTCCCTCTCATCACAAACGCAGGTGCATGTGTGGGTTTCTAAATGTGTGCACGAGATCAGCAGCAAGTGGCCACCTTGAGTCAAACCACCCCTGAATGCCATTTGGGGGGATTAAATTATGGGAGCAGTTAACAGGAAGAACGGTTCAGCAGATAACGGGTCTTCTGGGGTCGATGAATGGGAAACTTTGAAGTCCAGGGTGCAGATCACCCAAGAGTCCCACCGTGGTGAGCTGCGCATTCAGAGAAACACGAAACTCGGGGATCCTGAAGAATCAGAGGCTGGACCCTGATCTAGCAGACGGAGGCTGAAACGACAAGGCACAGAGGCTAGTCCCTCCATGAGGACTGCGAGGGCCCTGTGCACAGGTCCTCCCCTGCTTGAGTTTCCTGAGAGGCGAGGGGGTCTTCAGATCGTCCCCAAATCCCTCTAGACTCGAGTCTTTAGGCTCCAACTTATTTAACAAATACTTCTTGAGCAGCTACTATGGGCATGCCATGAAAATGCAGAAATAAACATCCCGCTCCCATGAACGCCATGGCCCGGCCCTTAAGCTCACATTTCAACATAGTTCACGTGTACCCAAAGTGTCACATATAGGAGATGCTACGGGAACTAAAAGGAAGCCAGTCATTCGTGTTTGGCAAACAGGGAGGGCTTCCTGGAGGAGGGGACCTCAGAACCAGCTCTAGAAAGAGACAGGAAGGAGGCCGAGGCTAGACAGAAGGTGCAGAGGATCTCTGGGGCTGCAGGAGGCTGGGCTGCCAGAGTGCCAAGGCCAGAAGGAGCGGGAAGGCCAGCAGGCAGATGGGACAGTACTTTGTGGTTTTCGCAGACATCTGGTGATTTAGATGCTCCATCCAATCCCCTATGGCCACACAGAGGGGGAGGAATTGGGGAGAGCATGCCCAGAGGCGGGGAGGCCAGGCAGGAGACTGGCGCTCCCTCCCCATCCTGAGTCTAGGGCCACACAGCACTTTCCACAAGCTGCCCGGGCTGGAATCCACATTTCTACAGACACCGCCTTTGTCACCCGCTAGCCTGCCAGCCCTTGTCCCAAACCCCTCCACCTCCCAGTGCCCAGCACAGTGCCCTCATGCTGGTCACTGCTGTGAGCTGTACGGGCCATGCACCCCCTTCTACCCACCCCCACCCCTGCTAGCTCCGATTCCAGAGCTCCTAACTCCCCCAGCTGCCCTCCCTCAGGTCACCAAACCCTGGCCACAGTCCCTCCCAGGGCTGCACCCCCATCCCACTGCCACAGGCCCAACTGCCTCTCCCAACGGCAGGCAGTGCGTCTCCCCCGCCCACCCAGGATGATCTTGTGACTTGCTCTGACCCACAGAATGTGAGGACAGCGCATGGGGCAGGGGGCCGGAACCCTGAGGGCACCCTGGGAGGAAGCCCAGGTCCCCAAGGACGAGGCACAGGTACAGGGACAGAGGCCTGCCACCCGCCAGCACCAAGCACCAGATGAACTGAACACCTGCCCAGCTTAGCCCGGCTCAGTCCAACCCAGCACCATCAGCAGGTAACGGGACTGTCGTTTTAAGCTGCTTGGATTTGGGGAGGGGGCGGCTTGTAACATAATCATAAGACACCACCCCACTCCTCATTCCCCTCCTCCTGCTCCCAAACAGGCCAGGCTGAACTGAGCACCGGGTCCCTTGTCCCTTGCGCCGCCCCTCCCCCGCCCCCGCCCCACCCCCATGGATTTGGAACAGATGTGCTGCCCATCAGGCCACATGGCAGTGGCTCCCCAATTCACCCGGCAGCTCCCACTCCAGAATGGCCTCCCATGTCAGCCGGGATCTGTGAAAGACCGGACGTGAATGCCTGACATGGGAGTTAATCACTCGGTGGACGAAGCAGGAGGGCTCACCGAGACGATCCATCTTTCATGTTCTGTTTCATCTGAACCAGGTTTGGGGGAGCGGCACCAATGCAGTGAATTTTTAAAGATCCTTAACAAGGGGCCGTGGGGGGGCTCCTAAAAGCTACCTGCAAAACAGACCATTTGACTGGCTACGTTCAGTAGATTTGAAGCCTTTTAGACGTCTTAAAAGTTGCCGTCCGGCTTTCCCTACGAGACGAGCGACAGTCCGCACGCTCTCAAAGGAGTTTCTGGGTCAGAAGTGTGGCTCTCTCTCCCATGGAGCTGATGTCCGGGCGGACAGATGAGCCGCGACAAGGGGTCCCCTGACCATTCTGAACCCCTCCTCCCCCCACCCAACCTTCTCGAAGTTCACCTAAAATAAGGAATATATGTCCAAAGGCTTCGGAGAAGAACTCCGTCCTCACACGGAAAACTCTGAAGATGCCAGCACACTCACCTTACAAAAGCTCAAGGTTTTAAATTTCCCTTAGCCGTTTCCTCCTTGTAAAAGATTCTGAATGGGATCGGTTCTATTTCTACTTGCTTATCATTCTTGGTGCCATTCCAGAAAAGATTTCAGGCCGCCTCGGTAAGTTCTAATTCCCGTGCCGCATGTGGTTTGCCTACTTTTCTATTTGGGAGAATTTCTCATTTAAATACCAAATCAAACTGCTATCTTGCCCTTCCTCGCAAGGGAAAAAAAAAATCCTTGAAGAAAAAGTGCACGCAGGTCATAAAGCTAGGACAGCGCTTGCGTGCGGATCTCATCCCTGGGTCGAGGGAAGCGCACAGAAGTGGCCCCTGCGTCCGTGCCGGTCCCCGGCTAGTGTCCACTTACTCTGTTGTTGTGGTCAGCTCCTCCATGACGTGGCTGGAGTGCAGCAGGCCTTCTCGCTTCTGCAAACCCCAAAATGAACAAATAAACACACCAACAGCGGGCAGGCAGAGGCGACGGGAGGAAGGACATCACTGGCGTGGTCCTGAGCTGCGTGCTGACCACCCACTAGACAGCATCCAAGCCACGCCCGCGGGGACAGACTGCAGGTGACTCGAGGGGTTGACCCTTTTGGTGGCTGGAAACTGTCCCCTCCCCTCCTCCACCCTCTCCCTAGGCTCTCTGCATTGCTCTGAGAGCAGGCAGCTAGCGGGGCCGGGGGGGGGGTTGTCAGGATTAATACCCTAGCTCCCCAAGGGAACCCATATGCCTCCAGCTGGGAGAGGGACGGAGCACGGGGAACCCCCATAACAAGGGGAGCAGCCAGTATAAGGACAGGCACGCTTGCCTAAGTAGGATACCTCCCCCACACCGTCTGCCTCAGAAGTCATGTCCGTTCCGAACCTTGGAACGTGACCTTGTTCGGAAACACGGTGTTTGCAGATAGAGCTAGTTAAGAGGAAGCCATAAGGCACTAGGGTAGGTCCCAAATCCAACACGACCGGAGTCTTCGTAAGAGAAAACAGCCACAGGCACAGAGGGAAGACTGACAACAGAGCCAGTGCCTGGACAGACGCGCCTACAAGACCGGGAACCCAGAGGGCTGCCTGCAGCCACCAGCAGCTGGAAGGGGGAAGGAAGGATCCTCCCCTAGAGGCTTCGGAGGGAGCGGGGCCCTGCCGACTCCTGTGTAGGCCTTCCAGCCTCCCTAACAGTGAGGGAACAATGTCTGTTATTTTAAACACCCAGGCTGTGGTCTTTTGCAACAGGAGTGCTAGGACACAACACTGTGTGTGACGGAATTCTCCAGAAGCCTGCAGGTGTGAAGAGGCACGGAGGGTGGCAGTGTGGGGGGTCAGGGATGGGGAGTAGCCTGCATGTCCCCAGACCCCAGGGTGGCTCTCACCAGCCAGCTAATCCAACCACTGTAAGCCCCTACGTGAACCCCTCGAGACACGGGGAACTCACTCCCCACTGGGGGGGCCCATCGTGGACACCTCTGGAGATCGGAGCTCCCCAGCCCTTCCTGAACTTGACCTCTGGGGAAGCCTCGAGGCTGGTTCTTGCTGGTGAAAAGCAGGCACCCTGCAGCGGAGCCCGTCAGCACCCACGGGCTCCCGGAGAGCCGCCAGCGAGGCCGGAGACACTTCATTCCCTCACGTATCCACGCACCTATTGGGCACCTACTAGATGCCGGGCCTGGGGCGAGGTAGTAAACACACAAGGCTGAGTATTTCAGTTTTATAGCATAATCTCAGATTTCTGGGGAAATCACTGCAACTCGGAGAAATCAAGGGCTCGCCTGTGGCCAGGCTGCCGGGTAGTAAAGAGGCCCCTGTCCTCATCCCTTCCCTCCTTGGACCCCCACATTCCTTGCGTCTCCCATCTCCGACCGGAGAACCGGACATGGAGGGACGGGCCTTGGGGTCTGGGAGGAGGGCTTCTGAGGCCAGAGGCTGGCCAGTTCTCGGGACCTCCGCACCCCGACGCATGCCCCTTTGGGTGTGGCCCGAAGAATCCTTCCGTAACCCTGGTCAGACAGGAGGCACCAGCAAGTGCTTGCCCGCGTCAGTAAAACTTTCTGAAAACCCAAAAGATTTTCTTGGACCCAAGCACAGCCTGAAAGGAAATGCCTTAATCACCAAGCCATACAGCACTCATGGGGCCCCGAGACTGATGGACACGGGTCTGGGAAGCCTTTCCCGGCTGGTTGCCTTGGGTGAGCACCGAGGGCTGGGGCAGCAGAATCGGTCCCCGCCCCCATCACCACCATGGACCGTTTCCTTAGGAAGCAAGCAGAGCCCCCACGGCGTGGGGAGGGGAGAGTAACCCTCGCCCGATGCCAGAAAGGGGGCATTCCCGCCCCGCAGGGTCCGGGCAGAGCTCCCAGGGTAACGGAGGGGACAAGCGGCTTCATAAAACCAGGACCAGCCAGAGCCTTGCGGCCCACAGAAGGCACAGAGCCGCTAAGGGAAAGAGTGGAGTTGGACAGCACAAGTGCATGAACACACAGACATCCGGGTTCCGAGCGAAACCTCATCGGTATGGCAGAGAACGGTGCTTTCGCAAGCAGAGTGTTTTCCCCGTTTGGTGTCCCCGACAGCCAGGGCTCAGGGCCAAGTACACAGTAGGTGCTTCCTATGCATTTACTGGACAAGACCACAAACACAGAGTTGGGGCTGGGTCTGTCCCCTTAAACGCAGGGGACGCGGCAGGAAAGGCTGCTTTGCCCCTGCCAGAAGGACCCCAGCTCCCAGTTACACCTCTCCAAGGGAAGCAAAAGAAACGACCCTAAGAGGGCAATCGCAGGGACTGGAGGAGATAATTCACAGCAGATGCAGAGAAAGCTTTCATCAGGGTATCCGTTTCATACCGCTGGTCTCAACCCGCTCCGGTGAGTAATAAGCTCATTCAAGAGAACTGAATTCCAACCACTTGGCTTTGGAGAGAAATGAATGTTCTTTTATAAAAAATGCTGGAAAATTAAACCTCAACACACTCATTGCCTTTGAATCTGCCTCTCTCCAAATCAGTGCCATTGTTCCGGCTCCAACATGTGTCCCCAAGCCAGGGCAAGACACACATTTTGTCAAGAGGGGAGAACAGAAGGTGACCGCACAGGAGGGAGGGAAGAAAGCAGCAGTGGGGGGAGTCCACGGGAGAAGAGCGTCCCCACACCCCACACCCCGCCGCCCCGCAGCATGGCGGGCAGGTCCGCTGCCCGCTACTTACCCGCACGACCACCACTTGCACGGACACGTGCTCGGGGAGGCGGATCGGGGCCCGGAAGTGCATGGCCAGGGCCACGAGCAGGTGCAGGATGGCCACCAGGTTCTTCCCGTGGATTGCTGGTCGGGGAGGAAGAAGGGAGCTGGTTTAGGTCAGGTTCTGCAGGAACCACGAGCCCGGTTCCAAAAGGCAATAAAGACACTGCGTCCAAACGAGACCGCGGAGAAAAACCACGGTCGGGGGTGGGTGGGAGCGGGGGCCACAGGAAAATGAAGATGACGAGCACCTCGTGTGAGTCTACTTCTCCTCTCTAATTAGCTTTCCTTCCTGCTGACTTTCAGGTGACACGGGCAACCGCTTTCAAAGCACAGCATTTGTAAAAGGTGTCAGCAGGGGTGGGGTGGTAAGGACACAGAGCGGGCAGGAGAGTGAGGTTAGCCCAGGGAAGGGAGAATTTTGTGGAAAATGGGTCATCATGGCCACTTAGGGGTCACAATAACATGCCTCACTCTCCCGGCCGCTCAGGTCTCCCTCTGCCCCATCACCGGCCTGCGCAAGGGAGGAGAGCAAGGGTGGGGGGCGGCACTCTGAGGGAGAAGATGGGAACCCCCGCCCCACCTCGGTCCCTGGCTGCTGTCCCCAACACTCCAGCTCTCCAGTCCTCGGACAGGTGCAGTCGTACTCACTCCCACGCAGTGCTTACAGCTTCCAAATACCCCAGTCCTCCCCCACGGCGCCCACGACCCTTGAGGCAGGCTTGGGTCTGTGACACATCCCGATGCCAAGAAACCAGGCGCCGTCAGCCACAGCCTGGGGCTCATCCCTCCAAAACCCAGGGGACCCTGGCAGCAGGGAGGGCTTCCCCGCCAGGCCCTGCCTGCCCTACACTGAGGATGGGGGGGTGAGGCGGGGGGGGGGGGGGAGGGGGGAGGGGGGAGGGGGGGCCCCGACAAAGAACTTTCTGGCTTTAGTTCTTCACCTTCCCGGTGTCACGTCTTGGCTGGGAAGACTGTGATGCCACATACTGGCCATGCGAGCACACTCCGGGATCTACCCAGAGGCCGGCATGAACCTCTTCCTGGGGACCTTGCTGTCAGGGCCACTCGTGTATGCGCTTGGCTCCCTTCCAAGAACCCCACAGAGCTTCTCTCTCTTTCCCCCACTTCCTCTGGGAGCCTCCCCTGCCCCACCAGACCAGAAACATCTCTCCTCTCTAAAGCACGGGGGGAAAAAAGGCAGTGACAGGCGTGACTTTGTCCCTCACCCAGGAGCGAGCTCCCAAGAGCGGGGACGCTGGCTTTGGCCTGTCCCAGCTGCCTTCCAGATAGCAGCAGCAGGAACGGGTTTTGAGCGTGCAAGCCCAGAGAGGCCACGATGAACGACAGCATGGCAAGCTGCGGGGCAGGCCCGGCGGCCCCCGAGACCACTCACAGTCAACGGTCCACTGGAGCGCCCGGCCGTGGGGCCGCAGCAGGCCGTGCACGGCTTCGAGCACCGTCTGCAGCTTCTGCTTCTGCCCGATCTCGGACTGTGTCACCTCAGCCACGTTCAGCTTGTAGCCCGCCAGCTTCTCTGCAATGAGGACGAGCGCAAGACACAGGGGTCAGGACACGCTGGAGGGTCTCGGGGCCGCCGCTCCCTCCTGCAGACTGGGGCGAGCAGATCATCACAGTGCTTGGAGCTTTCTAGTCCTTCGTGCTCCTTGGGAAAGTACTCTAGAGCGGGAAAGGGGGTGTGGAGGTCGAGGCCAGAATGGGAGGTGTCCCGCTTAGGAACATTCTAGGCACGTGACATGGGAAAATGACTCGAGGTGCACCTGCGAGGCAGGGAGGGGACCCGCAGGGACTCCGGGGATGGGGCCAGAGCAGGACAGGCTGTGCAGTGGGTCCCCTTGTTTCTCTAACAGCAGGACACCGCGGCAAGGACGGTGGGATGTTCGCAGACATTACCACGAAGGACTTTATCCCTGAGAGCGAGCTGGGAGCAACCTGGGGGACCCTGACAAGAACCGCCCCATCTGCTTGAGATCTAGGACAGACCCCAAGCCCGGCCCAGGGGCAAGCTCCGCCCACTCCCCCTCCCCCACGCAGGTCCCCCACCTGCTAAGGGGCAAGGGGAGAAGGGGCTCTACGACCCAGCTGTCCTCCCGAAGGGCTGTCACTCCTCAGCAAAGCAACAGCAGCAGCAGAACACGGTGACCTGTTCCCTGGGAGGGTGATCGTGCTGCCTGACGCAGAGCCCGACTGGCCGCGAGCCAGGACGTGGCTGCTGGCCGTGGCCCCAATGGGAGGGACAGCACACAAGCCGTGGAGTCCAGGCCGGTCACGGTGGGGATCCCATTTTGCAGGTGGTCCCCAGCAAAGCTCTGTGTATGGAGGCCCCTCACTCAACATTCTCTCCCCGTGTCCTCCCCTCCCTTCATCAGAACAAGAGTAAACCATGTTAATATTCCCTGCAGGATCCTATTGTAGAGCAATGCCGGTGGGGCTTGGGACGCTCCTCCCTCGCTCCCTCCTTCCTTCCTTCCCTCCCTCCTCCCTCCTTCCTTCCCCTCATTCCTTCCTTCCCTCCTCCCTTCCTTCGTTAGCTCACAAAAGAGCTATCTGAGCACCTGTGTGCCAGGCACCGTCCCGGGGCCAGATGCAGCAGAGAGGAGGCTCCCCAGCGGGCTGGCAGCCACCTCGAGGGCTAAAAGCTAAACAAAGCTCCTCCACCAAGGGCGTCCTGCGGGGGGCTGTAAGTGGTTGCCGTTTACGCATTTTGATGTCCCTCTGCCTCGGGTAGGTCCCAGCTGGATAAGCCACAGCTGTTCCATACCCTACGGACACCCTGAAAATACACAGCAGGACCCCCAGGTGTGGCAGGGCGGAGCGTAGGGTCCTGGGGAAGGAAGGAGGGTGACAGAGCCGGGTGGTCCAAAAGCCTCACCTGCTGGGAGACAGGGAGCCTGGAGCGCTCTGCCACCCCCTCCACCAGGCAACCCTGCAGACCTGCAGCCTGAACGCGGTGGCTGGAGGAGGTGCGGCGGAGAGGGGAAGGAAACCACACTGGCCTGTTAGGGGTCCGGGAACGGAGCACCACAGACCGGGGTGTAAACGATGTAAACTTGCTCTCAGGACCCTAGAGGTTAGAGATTGGAGACTGGGGGTCGGCAGAGCCGGTCTCCCCCGAGGCCTCTTTCCCCAGGTCCTCACGTGCATCTGTGTCTTGATTTCTTCTTCTTAAAAGGACCCCAGCCCTATGGGTTTAGGGGCCTACTTCCAACGACCTCATTTCAACCTAACGACCTCTAGAAAGACCCTGTCTCCAAATACAGTCACACTGCGAGGTTCTAGGGATTATGATTTCAACTTAGGACTCCTGGGCAGGGGGAGGCGGGGTGGGGGGACACAATCCAGCCCATGACAGGAACCGAGGAGGCTAGTAGTTCCCGGGTGCTGCCCGAGGCCGGTCCTGCTGGTTCTGCTGCGTGGGAGAGGATCAGACAGGCTGCCCGCGTCACCTGCGTCACTGCCTAGTGACGGGCTTTGCTGCGGCAGCACCTGCCTTCGGCGCACGGAGAGGGACGAGGAAGCTGGGGGTGGGGGTGGTCCTCAGATGGGCAGGCAAACGAGCTGCGGCTGAATGCGGGGCCGTGAACACACCTTGCGCAGGGAGGCCTGCCTTTTGCAAGGAGAAGGGAGCTCCATGAGTTAGAAGCAGGACCCCAGCCGGCCCGGGAGCCCCCCGGGGACCCTGGCAGCAGCACCCACCCTCTTGCCGCAAATGGCCCATCGTGCAGAAGGGTTCCACCTGCTGAAGCCTGCCACGGGGCAGAGTCGGCAGCTGTTTCCAGAGTCTGCTCTGAAGAAGAGGGACCCATCCGGGGTCGTGCTGGGGACTCACACTTGGCGACCTCACCTGGTCGAATCCAGAGGTCCGCCCTCTGTTCTCTCGCCCGCCTCCTTGAAACACCCTTCCTCTACCCCTCCAAAGGGAGCACTCCCCGGGGGCCTCCTCCCTCGTGGCTGGACCCTCAGACTCCTTCACGGGCTCCTCCTCTTTCTGACCCCTTCCTGACCAGGCAGGGCCCCGGCCGCAGACCTCTCCTCTCCCCAGGTGCACAGAAGTCAGCTTTGGCCTCGGCCCTCGCCACAGTCTCCTTTTTGGCGTTGGCTTCTGCCTTTGGAGACAGTGACGAGCCCAATGTCTAGTCCACGCGGGTGCCGTTCCTGCTGGCCCTGGGCTCTCGGACCACGTGCTCGCACGGGTCACTGGGGCACCTCGTGAGCACGGCAACACCGGCAGTAAGCCATGGACGCGCAGGCGGCGCGCGCTGATTTTCTGTTCAGAACCGAATATTCTCCTCCACGGGTCTCTTCCTCCCGCAGACCAGTGTGTCAACCCCCTTGACATGTGAGTGATTTTAGAATCGCCTGATCAGGTGCTCAAGTAAGATACTGACAAGGGACAGATGGCAGCTGCACCAACAGAGGCTGCCGAGCGAGAGTCGCTCCCGTGACACTCTGTGGGTAACACAGCCAACGCGGGACGATGGAAAATCACGCAGCTTCACAGCGCGTGTGGAATCTGCCGGCGGAGGAGGGGACCAAAGGACGTGCCTCGAGGGGCAAGATTTCTTACCTCATACCTGCTCTAAAGACCCCCTGTCACTTGTCGCCTGGCGGGCGCCAGCATCGTTGACAGGCAAATTCAGAGCCTGTCCTATGATCCAGTGACAGTACCGAGGACCCCCCTACCCCCCACTCCCCACACTAGAACTCAGGCTTAGGACACAGTTTTTTCAAGCAATTGGGTTAAAGGAGCCACGGGGGCATGCAAAAGCATCAGAAGGAAAAAAATCTGAGTGCTATTACTCTGAAGTTTGCTTCTGAAACTGCTAGGAAGAACCTCTCTCTGCCAGGAAGCCAGGCACCTGCTGGAGGGCCCATTTCCTGACAGCGGCATCACCCACGGCCAACACTTTGAGTCCAAGGGCCGAAGGGAAGCTCGGTCCTCACCTAGGACAAGGAGGACAGCCGGTAACCCGGGCAGCTCCCCCATCGGAAGAATCCTTGCCGGCGGATCCACAGATGCACACACCCCCTCCTCCAGTCTCTACTGAAAGTGGGGGTCACCGCGCATGTCCACTGTGATGACCCTGAGGGCACTGTAGCCCCCGACAGGGCTGAGGATGACCCCGGGAATAACTACACCAACACAACGATCTAAAACACCAGAACTCCGACTGATGTTTTTTTTTATCCGGACATAATCCACGTACGGTGTTAGATCAGTTTCAGGTATACAATGTAACAATTCAATCTGCCATTTTTAATAATAAACAGGCGATAGTGATTACCAACCCCGATAACGTTTCAGACTTAGGCTTGTACCTCGGAGAGTCATTCCGAGACGGGGATCCTTGGCTCAGCCAAATCCTGAGAAATTCTTGAACGTGTGGCATTAGGCCAACTCGCGAATCTGGGCCACCCTCTCTGGGAGAGGTTCCCAGGTACCACGGTGTGGAGCATCAGCTCTGGGTTGCTGAGCTCTCCACCCTCACCTGGCCGCTGACTGAGCTAGAACAGGCCCCGGTTCCTGCAACACCCACCTCCTCACCCCCCAACCCCACCCTCCTCCCAAGGGGCTCCTGGTTCCCCAGCTGCTCCGGGACAAACCCAGCTGTCACGTCAGCCTCGACGTCAGCTCCAACCTCCAAGATCTCTTCCCCGGGGTCTGCACCTCCCCCTAGTCTGAGCCACATCATCTGATACCCAGGCTCCCTGATCTCCCGCGTGATCTCAGCTTCTGCCCCCGAGCCCTCCCTTCTGTACCCAGAAGCCCAGGTGACTTTGTAAAACGCTTAGCTCTGATCATGTCACAGCCCTGCTCAAAAGCCCTATCGGCTTCCTATCACGTGGAATAAAAGCCTTTGTCGACCAGGGCTGGACGCGACCTGGCCTCGTCCGATTTCCCAGCCCTGTCCAGCCCCCCACGACCCCTCTCCCCCACCTCCTGCAGGCTCTTCCCACGGGTCTTTAAACACTACACTCTTCCTCACCTCAGAGTCTTGGCCCAGAGTGTTCTTCTGAGACATCTGCTCAGATGTCCCCTCCCCAGAGGGCCGCCCCCACCGCCAGACCCTCTCCAGCCCATGACCCTCTGGCTTCCTTCCTAGCGCGTGCCACTCTCTTAAAGCATCTGTTTGTGTCCCGTAACATTTCTCCTTCTTCCCTCTGCCAAAATGAGGGGCACAGGTGGGCGAGGGGACCCCCTCCCTGTTGTTACCACTGCATCTCCAGAGCCCAGACCCAAACCTATCACAAGCTGAATCTTCGTCCAACAGACGAACGACCAAGGCAAGCACGACTTTTTCCCTCCAGATGTACTTTCACATGATGGGCAGAGTAAGGGAATGACATATGGGCCATCACCAATTGCGTGTCTTTCAGGGCAAATTGCATCAGGCCATTCCCTCCCCACCACCCCCGCAGGAGGGCTGGCCTGCGGAGGAAGTGGCACCATCCTTGTCCCATCTCCCTGGCTCCACGGGAAAGTTCTGGAACCTGGGCGTGGCCTGCTGCCGCCAGGAGTCGCCACCTGGAGCGTGGGCTCAGAGCTGCGGCTCCAAGGCTGCCCTGAGGACGAGCAGCCCATGCCCCCTTGCAGAGAATCGAGTGGCCGTTTGCTGGGGATGCCCGAGACTCACCCAAGAGCTTCTGGAGCACCTGCCCGTCGTAAAGGTCCTCCTCCAGCTGCTTCACGATGATTCTCTCCTCCACCAGGACGTCGTTGATCCAGTCGATGAGAACCTGCGGACAAGGAGCATCATGGCCTCGCTTACCATGCCAGGCAGACCAGGGCACCGCCAGAGCAGACCTGGAACTGAGCGCTGCTGGGCACCGAGACGCACCCCGGCACAGCAGCCGGGCAGACGGGAAGGGAAAGACGGGGCCTCGGCGGCTGGACTTCGCGTGGGATTTCACGAGGGGACGGCTGGAGGGCTGCTACCACCATGACCCTGGGCATCCTCCTGGTGGGAGCTTGGGTGGACGGGGATGCTCTCAGGTAAAGGAAACGAGGATTCCTGTTCACAGTGGCTTGGAGGAAGGGGTAACATGCGTAATAGCAGCACTGGCACGACAGGTGGCCCATTCGACATCCGTCCATCCCTCCCCTCCCATAGGATCCGCCCCAGAGCAGCTCCGGCCACCCTGAGCCTAAAGCCCTGGAGAGAAGGCGGTCCCAGACGGCCCGTGATTGACAGCTCCGAGCCCCTCTTCCTTCCAACAGCTTTACTGAGAAAGAATTCACATCCTATACCATCCACCCTTTGCAAGTGTGCAATTCAGGGGTTTTTAGTCTTCATGGACTCGTGCACCCATCACCACAATCAACTGAGAACAACATCATCGCCCCCAAAAGAAACCCACAGCCCGTAGCAGGCCCTCCAAGCCCTCCTTCCAACCACTCAACTCTGCTCTCCGTCTGTGGATCAGTCTATTCTGATCTTTCGTATAAATGCACTTTCATGCCAATGGGATTTCCTATAAATTTCGTATCAATTGTATTTTATGTAATACAGGATATTCTGCATCTGGCTTCTCTCGCTGGGCACGATGTTTTCAGAGTCCATGTGCTCTGAAGCCCGGGTCAGAACTTATTCCCTCCCATGGCGCGATGACACCCCGGCACACGGATCTGTCACATCTCGTGGGTCCACTCGTCCCAGCGGAGGGCTTCTGCACTGGAGCCACTTTTCGTGGCTTTGGGGAGTCCTGCTACCCGGAACGTGGGCGTCTCAGTTTCCATGTGGACACGCGCTCACTTCTCTAGGCCAGCCTCCCGCTGGAGACTTTTCTCAACAAAGTTTCCCCTCTCCTCCTGGCGACCGACGACCAACGTATCATAAGAGATGACAGCTTCAGCTGTGAAGAGATCTATGGAGAAACGGGATTCCATTTGGCCAATCCCACTTCAGCCACTAAAGAAAACGGATGCCTGAACACACTCAATCAAAAACAGAACAGGATCTTCCTGTGCAGGCAAAACTAATAAAGCTACCTAATTGGTCTCAATGACCTCTTGGAAATGGGACGTTATTGCCCCTCTCGAAGACGGACGAAAGGGCACAAGTCCAGAATATCGAGTTCTGTGTCACCCTCTGAAACAGATGTGGCCTGCGAAACGGGCCACAAAGCAAATTTCTGTGAAGCATCTTCTGTTTTCCCACTAACTCAAAAATATTAAATCAGACACACAATCCCATGAAGAATGGAAGGGAACATAAACGCAGGTCTGGAGGAAGGAAGAAAGAGGTGAGCAGCTCTGCGGCATTCTGATTTCGACAAAGCCATCCGAAAGGTCAGCAAACAAGCCAGCGACAGTTCTCCCACACCGTCCCCCGCCGGCTCCCTCCCGCTCCCTCCCCAGGGCCAGCTGCCTGGGTTGGGAGCCTGGCCGGGGGTCTGGAAGCCGGAGCTCACCCCCCTCCCTCCTTCCAGCACCTTCCTCCACGGACACCATGCTTGCCCAGCTTGTGTGCTCCTCTCCACCCTCCCTTCCAGTTCCCCCGGGGAGTCTTCCGTGACCTCTGCGGCCATGTCTCTGAGGCCTCGCCCTGCACAACTCTTCTTCTTGCTCTCCGCTCTCTTCCAAGGCTAGCTCATGCCTTCCCGCAACTTCCAACGCAATCCCCAATCAGAAACCCCTAACCATGCAGCCTCACCTCCATGATCCTGCTGTTCAGCCATCCCTAAAAGCATCTCTGAAAGAATTCACCTCCCTCCAAACCTGCTCCTTTTCTAGGAAAGAAACAGAACGCCATCCACCAGCGCCTGGACTTCACCCCTCACCCCACTTCTGCCCACCTCATAACTGGGCCCACTTTTCACCCTCTCCTCTTCACCGTCCTTGACTAAACCACCTCCCTGAACCAAGGCCACTTCCAACTGAACATCCAGCCTCCTTGCTGGTATTCTCAAAAACCCCAGGTTCCTGTCTGCCTCAGGACCTTTGCACGTGCCATTCCTTCCAGCCTGAACACATCTCCTTCCCCCACTCCCTGGCCAGCTCACACTCATCTCTCAGGTCTCAAAAGTCCCTATCATTCTCTGACCACCCCGTCCCATCCAGGCCACGAGCCCCATCACCCCCTCAGCACACCCAAGCACCATTTCCCTGACCCTGTTCACATTTATGTCATAATCTCCCCGACTGGACCCAAAGCTCTGTGGGAGCTCTGGCACCAGTGGCTCCGTCCCCACCACTCGGGACTTACTGCCTGCCAGAAGCAGCCACCAAGTTGACTAACCAATTTACTGAGCATCCACTACGTGCAACCTTCTGGGAATAAACAAGACAAATGGGGCCTCTGTTCTGACATTCGAATTCGACATGCAAAGAGACATAAATATACACACTTGCAGACTGTGATCCATGTTAGAGAGAAAATAAGGCAGGGTAGAGTGGAGAAGGCTGACGGAGACACCCAGCCAGGCAGTGAAGGTCAAACACCAAGAGTGACCGGCCATGTTGATGGCAGGTGCCCTGACCTGATACGATGGGATGAGAAGGGCACCATACCTCTCTGGGGTTCCTCCTGAACGGATGACCCCACTCTAATCCAGAGGAAAACACCAGACAAATTCCCAGAAAGGGGCATTCTCCAAAATCTAGGTTAGCACTCATCAAAATGGACAAGGTCATGATACACACGGAAAGTCTAAGAAGCTGCTGGAGCCCAGAGGCGCTAAGGAGACACGATGATGAACTCTCATGTGGGATCCCGGACGGGGTCCTGGACCGGAGAAAGGACAGTGGGAAAAAAACTAAGGAAATCCGAATAAAATGTGGACTTTAGTTAACAGCAACGTATTAATACTGAACAAACGTGCCACGCTATCAGAGAATGTTACTAAGAGCGGAAATCAGGTGTGGATTTATGGGAATTCCCTGTACTCTCTCTCGCTATTTTTCTATAAATTTATAACTTGATTAGAAAATAAAGTCTATTAAAAAAAATAAGGCAGGGTTTGGAGATGGGGGGGTACAGTGGCCATCGGGGACCAGGAGGTCAGGGGACTTCCTGGAGGAGGTGATCTGAGCAGAGATACACCCAGACACAGTGGAGGGCATGGGTAGGACAGGAGCTAGGGTCAGAGGTGAGCCTGGGAATGGGCAGGTGAAGCAGGGTGGAGGACTGGGAGAGGGAGAGAGACAGGGAGCGGCTGGGCGGGCGCGTGGGACATCTCCAGCGTGTCGAGGTCTCGGGGATGGTGTGAGGTCAAGAGGAAGACCCGTGCCATGGGCTGGAGGCAAATGAGGGAAGGGAGAACAGACAGAGGGAGACAGTCCAAGGAGGGAGAGAAAGGTCTAGAAGCAGCTGGGAGCATCTGGAGCTGGGAGGACGTCTGCTCCCTCTTGCCCCGACATCCATAGAGGGAGGCAGAGACCCTCTAAGCCATCCGAGCCCTGTCACCCACCCTCCCAGGACATGGGAGGGTTACACGGCTGCCAGCTATCACAGGACGACCTGTCCTGTCCCTTTGTCTCCCTGTGGCCACCAGCAAACCTGGCTCCTGGCAAAATCCCTTATTCCCCCAGGGCTCTACCGTGGTCCTTTTATCAGCAAGTTCACAGCGATTACAGGCACCAAGTGACAGTGTTCCACTCACCAGTTGCTACCGAACACCTGCCTCCTGCCCAGCGGTGGGGGGCAGAGTTGTCCCTGACCTACGGGAGCCGACACTCCAGCTGGGAGTTGGGCAGAGAAGAAAGAGGAGCTCGAGCGGAGCGATGGCAAATCGAGGCCACGGAGGTACAGAGCTCTGTCCCGATGTCTCAGGGAAGAGGGGGGCATTCAGAAGGCGAACCCACGGCAGGCAGGGCAGGAGGGCCAGGTGACCCCCAGGAGCCAAGCTAGGGCCACACGGCCTCCCTCGGGGCTGGAGTCTCAGAGAACCGCCTCTTCCCCGCGCTGCTGCTGCCGGTCCAGGGCACAATTCCACAGACCACGCTTTCTCCGGACAGAGGAGGGGGGATGCTTCCTTCTCCCCTGAGACCAAGAGACCTGGAATGACCCCCCACGGCAGCTCTCTAAGGCTGACTCACTGCCCAGACCCTGAGCCCACTCCCCCAGCCACAGAGCTGAGACCCCTGTGTCTGCGCCCCCCCACACCACCCCGGGGGCCTGTTCTGGCCCCCTGATGAGATTTACTGATGTGGATTTTTTGCAAAGTGTGTCGTTTAAACTTAAGAGAGAAAAATGAGTGCCAGGGATGGCACCTGCTACGTTAGCCTCCCCACAGCACCCAGCAAAGCCCCGAGCCATAAAGGGTCATAAATGCCAGGTAAGTGACTACTAATAATGTTCCTTATGTTGTCTATACTTTTAGGTTACCACCTTTAAAACGATTTTGTAGGCAGAATTTCCAAAGATCCCCCCTAAGATCCCAGCCTGCTGTGTACAGGCCCCTATCAACCCTGGGACTGTGAAGATGATGGTTTGCACCCCATGGTGTGGCTATTATAGGGCCCAGCTGACAAGAAAGAAAGAGCATCCGGGTGGGCCTGACCAAAGCACATGAGCCCTCTGAATCTGCATCTAGAGGTCAGAGACCACAGGCAGAGAGAGGGGAAGCACAGGGGAGAGCCTCCGTGGCTGGCTCCAAAGGCAGTAGGGCCCACCTGGAGAGGAGAGGACTCTAGGGGTAGAGAGCTGACTCCTCCCCAGAAGTTCCAGAAAAGAACTCAGCCAGGCATCACTCAGAGCAGAGAACCCAGCCACACCTCTGACCCGCTCAACTATGCC